ATACAGCAGTTCAAGAAATATATACTGTAGCTGCATTGAATCTAATTGCACTTATGCAACATTCAGATGTGGAACTGCTATAGTCAGCTGACTGAATAGATTTCATCGATTCAAAATACGCATTATGTACATACTATATGTGCAGTACCAAGTCATTATACTGTACATATATAAAACGTATGGAGTAGTTAGGATGCTATTACCTGGTGCTGTAAGTACAGAGACCCGTACGTGTTGAACTTTGATACTGGTATAAACTATTTCTACAGTGGTGCTGTAGGTACATAACTGTCAAGATGTTCTTTCTCCCCTGTCACCTATGAGCCTCAGCAAAAGGTTACTGAGACCTCGTAAATTTAGTAAATCATCTGCTGTGAGAACTGTAATTCTCTCCGTATACTCCCTCACATCACAATAAAATCTCTTGAGGAGGGAAGCTGTCAACACAGATCACTGGGGTGGAGTTGTGCTGAGTCACAGTCTGCTGGAAAGACGACGATGGGAGTTCGAAGAGTCTGAATGGTCGGAAAGGGTTTCAATGGTTTTCTGACTAAAGATCATGAGCAGGGAATGGTGCTGTGCTGCCTGGCTCACAGCTGTGCTCAGTCATCTGGCTTTCCTCACTCCTCCTAATGCAAAGAGTGCAATAAGAGCAATCACAACCCAGGCTTAATCCCAAACGCCCTGTCAGAGAATCACAAGGGCTGTTACTGTTTGATTCCCTCTCTGTCTCTCTTTCAAGATGTGAGCTGCTGACATATTTCTCCTCTTTTCTTTCCTGAGCAAATGTTCTAAAACTCTCAGGGGTTTGATGCTGGCACAGTATCTCTCAGCTCTCCAGTTGGACTGGGATCATATATATATTCTGGTCCTGCGGGGTTAGTAAGGCTCTTTTAATGATTGAGTGATCAAGGCCTGGGGAATGTGGTTGTGCAGACTAAGTCAGAAAAGAATTGAACTAATAAAGTGTTTCTGAGAGGTGGGAATCATGGAATGAAATCTGGGGCCCCTGTGGGCCTGAGCTAATTCTCCCCGCTTGGGTAGAGCCAGGAGGCATGAGTGTGGACTGGGCCCTGGTCCCTTAGTGATGGTGGGTGTGTTTCTCCACCAGGTGCACATCTTCATCAAGGATGTATACACCGAGCTGAAGAGTGGGATCTACCTGATCCGCCTGCTGGAGCTCATCTCCGAGACCAAGCTGCCCACTCCCAGCCAGCGGGACATGAGAGTGCACTACCTGGAGAACAACAGCATAGCCATCAAGTTCCTCAAGACCAAGGTGTGGGGCAACCTGAGACCCCCAAGAGGACAAGACACTGACGCCTTCAGAGCTCTTAAATTGGCATTTTGTGTTTAAGGCATCTTTGATTGCCTGTGAATCACTCCTGTTTATTCTGGAACAATGAACAGCCGTCATCTTGACCACAACCGTAACTGTGCTGCTCTTGGTAAAATCAGATTAATGTGGGTGTACACAGTGGTGATGGAACTTGTGTCTACAGAGACATTATGCGGGATTGTATAAAAGCAACTAGCAAACAGCCTTCTATTTACATTTATTTTTTCTTTCGCAAACCCCGCTTAAGAGTTGCACTTTCACACCATGCCAGAAGATGAACTAATTACATTAAAATGGTAAAAATCACATCAGGGGTACTGAGCTCCTCCGCCTAAGCTGTGGTCCTGATTAAAAATAGGTTAAAGGCAAACACAATGGGCATTTTTAACTTTATAAATTGTTGCTAACCCCCCTCTAAAATTTTTTAGACTTGTCACTTGAATATCCTTAAGTATAACACTTACAGGTTATTAAAATTTAGCACCAATTCATCATATGGACCGAGAGAACTCTCTATTTCTGAATGATTCTATTTTCCTAAGAAGTTTCAAGTTAAAATGCATAAAATCAGTACAATTAGCAGATAGACTGTGCAAAAGCCTGATTTTACACTTGCATAGCTCCACCCTTTCCAAAGAAAATTAAATTAATTCCATCATGAAGCAACTTTGAACTGTAATCTGTCACACATTGGTCTTCAGTCATTCAGTTTCGCTGAAGCCAGGACATTGAAATGTCTTGGTGACCCGTGCCTGCTCTCTCGCACTCCAAGGCCTCGTGCTGGTGTCTCCGTGGTGCAGAATCTCAGCCGAGTGCTGTCTCTAACCCGGGTCCCTCTGCTCTCCCCAGATTAAAGTAGATCTGATTGGCCCAGAGAATATCGTTGATGGGGACCGGACACTGATACTTGGATTGATCTGGATCATCATCCTGCGTTTCCAGATTGCTACAATCACCCTAGAAGAGGTAGTGAGAGGAGAAAGAGTAGAATACTCACATCACCACCATGAGTGCTGCAAGAGAAATACTGCTCATGTATCTATATACAGTACCTATATACAACACCTTTATACCTATATACCTATGTGGTATGAGACTGCCCTAGTTACTATATGTCCATTAACTGCGAGCAGTAACTGTAAGAACACTGCAAAAAGAAAAAAATACAATGGCTTAAATGGGATGACAATAGAATAATTTCACTTTATCTACCACTGTACAGAATTTGTTGTGGATACTACTCATGTAAAAAATAAGGACATATGACCTGGCTCATTTTATAAGTGTTTCTGGCAGATTTGTAGATAGTGTGAGAACGTGCTGAACACTATATGAAAAAGAGGTCCTCACAGTTTCCATGGAGGGGAGATGTAATGAAAAGTGAAACCAGGCTTGGGAGGGACCTGATGGCTGGCGCCTGCTGTTTTTAGGATGAGTTTGGTGCCAGTGCGGCCCGCCGCTCTGCCAAGGAGGCCCTGCTCATCTGGTGCCAGCGCAGGACAGCGGGGTACCCCAGTGTCGACGTGCGGGACTTCTCGGGCAGCTGGAGAGACGGCCTAGCCTTTAACGCCCTCATCCACGCTCACCGGTAAGGACGCTCACTGGGAAACCATGTTCCGATCAAGTTCATTTACAACACAAGTCTATAAATACTCACCACTTGACTTCCAGAAAACTGCTGTAAACCCGGCGTGATGTTCAGTGATTTATGAATGCGGCCTTGTGCTTGGGTTGAACTGATAAGGAGGCTGGGAACATAACGTACATCATTGCTTTTGACTTTTCCTATTTTTGACATTTTTTGACGTTGCTTTTAACTTTCCCTCTACTATATTATCACCTGTAAAACTGGCAAAGGCTTGTGTGATCCACTGATGCACCGGGTTGCATTTCCGTTGCGAATGGCACCAGAACTCGATTCTAGATGTCTGTGTGCGCGATGTCATACCATCATAAAGATCATAAGCAACAGCTTTAATAAGGATCAGGAGGGGTGCGTGGAGCAGTTACCTGCTTTCGTCCTCCTCTTCCTCAAACCTGGCTTTGTTCGTGTGTGTTTGCACTGTAGGCCTGACCTGTTTGACTACAGCCGGCTCCGGCAGGACCAGGCTCTGCAGAACCTGAACCATGCCTTCGGCGTGGCCGAGAGAGAGCTGGGCGTCTCGCGGCTCCTCGACGCAGAAGACGTGGCGGTGCCCCAGCCGGACGAAAAGTCCATCATGACCTACGTGTCCCTTTTCTACCACTACTTCTCCAAGATGAAGCAGGGTCAGACCGGGCAGAAGAGGATTGCAAAGGTCAGCAGGACGCCGCGCTTCCAGCGTGGTTTAGACAGCTTTCTGCCCCACTGCCTCTCACCCCGCCACGCTGCCGCCTCGCCACCTCTTTCTGTCAGGTTTCAGGAGCTGTGCAAGGGCGTGCTTGTTCAGCACTGTGATAGGAGACCGCCAATGAGAAAACCAGGTGGCTGATGTAACTCATGTGGGCCAGTAGAGGGTCCTCTTCCCTCCAGCTGTATTTACCAAACCACTGCCCCAGTATGTTGACAGTATGGTGCTCTTGGAGGTGCTGTCCTTCAGATGAGATGCTAACCAAAGTCCTGATTTCTTGGTGATCCAAGATCCTATAAAAGAGCAGGGATGGTATTCCCTGCTGTCCTGGCAAAATTCCACCCATGGCTTGCACAATCTGGCCTCCCAAAAGTCCCTCTCTTTTCAGTCGTGAAGCAGTGGGCCTGCTGGCGCAAGGGGCTGCCGCACATCTCCCAGATGAAGGTGGATGAGGGGCCCCACCAATATATGAAAGTATTTCTATCCTTTGGGGTGAAATGCACTGTGTGATAGATAATTATTATTATTGTATCTCTGAAACACTCAAGACAAAAAGGACTTTAGAACTGGTAAGAAAGGTCTAGTTTCCATACATTTCTCAAATCTGAACTTTTAAAGGTTTTCAATGACCTACTGAAAATGTGGAATAGATTTCTCTGAACCCCCCCTCTTCTACCCCGAGGATTAAATTTATGGCAGGAAGGGCCGAGTGTAACAATGCAAAAGCTTTTCAGACTTCCTCTGGGGAATGACTTCACTCTGCATGGCTTTGTAATTCTCCTGCAGGACAGGGGGGTCGAGTAGAGTTTGCAGAACACGGATGCTGATCACAGAGGGCACAGGAACTTGCAGGAGAACAGAGCACCCAGCCCTTTTACCTTTGAGAAGAAAGGTTTGATGTGGCATAGATTGGAAAAGCTCAAAATCTCATGACAAGGCCGGGAATTGAGATTGTAGGATTTTGCACTTATGGAGTCGGGACAGAAGAGGAGGAAATTCTATAGCCAATTGAAATATTTTAATGGGAGAAGTCATTGAGAAAAAAATAAAACAAACATTTGTGCTTGTACAGAGTATATATGAGCATTGTTCATTCATATTGCAATACAGCATATCTGTTCTTGTACAAGTATATTCTTAAACGATACTGTAAATATTTAGTGCAAACAGAGGGTATCGAAATCGCAACTGATTGAGTGCATCTTTCCCGTCCCTGCGTAGAAGATTCTAATAAAGGAAACCCCTGTGGATTAGAGGATTTAATAGAGGGGAGGAGAGCTGCTAATCAGATCAGCTCCAGCTTGGACTTTCAAAAGCAGACAAACACATACACTCTGTGATTCTGACACAGAGCAGAGCAGGCCAGACACAGCAGGGAGCCGAGCAATGGGAGGACGGCAAGCTTGCCCTCTCACCCACACACTGAGAGATCACCACAGGGAGCTGTGCTGAGGGAGACTCCCAGGCCAGGCAGGGTGAGAGAAGTGGCGGTGTCACAGCAAGGACTCAAGACACAGAGCGTGAGCGAGACAGGAAGAAGCCAGCAAGAGCACTGCGGAGCCTTGCGACTTGCTGTCTGAGACAATCAGAGGGAAATGTCTGTGGAGAAGCATGAAGACCAAGAAAGGGGCAAAGAAATAGATTTGCAGACAGACGTGATGGTGAAGACTTGCAATACCAGAGGCACAGATCGAGAAGCTCTAGACACGCACATGCTGGATGTTTATGAGATGAACATTGTGCTCAGCGATAAAGCCTTGAAGTCTTTTTGTCTTCTACGTGTAGTCAGAATGGGACAGCACAATAAATGAAACGGGTGGTTGCAGGAGAAAGACAGGCATGACTTGCAGCTAGTAGGATTGAGGCAGAACGGCCAGCACGCTGGGCTGCAGGACCCTCATTGCCTCTCTCTTATGGAACATCACTGGGCTCATGATGGCTTTCAATGGGAGCTTCAGTAGCCAGTGGGTGAGGTGGCAGCACATGCGGGAGGTGACCATCTGGCCACAGAGAGGTGCCATGATCGCTGGCAGGGTGGGTGTGCACAACCTCTCCTTGCCTCGCGCTGCGTTAGAGCCCCTGCTCCTTCTTCATTCCTCAGTCCTCAGTGCCGTAACGGAGCTCTCCCTTAACTCTCACAGTTCCTCTCCCCTATTAACTCCTCTACACACTGCCTACTTTTCCCTGAGAATCGCTGACAAAAAACGTTATCTTGGCCTCTGTCTCAGTCCTGCGTGACATGCCTTTTTAGTCTTCTGATTGCCTCTTCACACAATGCTGTGGAACACCATGCTCAGTCTATACTAATGCCTTTCACTGACTGTGATTGTGTTTTGATTCCAAGCATTTCTCAGCCTGGAATCCTGTGGTTGTTGTACAAGTTGTTTAAAGGAAGACTCCACAGCTCCTCACCTGTACCTGGGCTAAAATTCTCTTCATTGCTCGGGCAGACCTGATGGTACAGATGTAGTCTGCATCTCTGCTTGTAAATCTGTGCTTACAGGACCTGTGCTGAACAGAGCGCATTGTGTTTGTTCTTCCTCTTTCAGATTGTGGGGCTGCTGAAGGAGATTGACGACCTGAAGTTGCAGTATGAGAGGATGGTGTCAGAGCTTCTCAAGTGGATCAAGACCAAAGTGATGGAGCTCAACGACCGCTTGTTCCCTAATTCATTACATGGCGTGCAAAGGCTGGTCGCTGTCTTCAAGACATACCGCACAGTGGAGAAGCCGCCCAAATACCAGGAAAGGGGAGCCATCGAGGCTCTTCTCTTCAACCTGAAGACTAAGTTGAGGGCCAACAACCAGAAGGCCTACATGCCGCCCGAAGGCAAGACGCTGGGGGATGTGGAGAAGCACTGGAAGCTGCTGGAGAAAGCAGAGCACGAGCGGGAGCGCGCCCTGCAGGGGGAGCTGCTGAAGCTGGAGCGTCTGGAACAGCTGGCACAGAAGTTCGGCCGCAAGGCGTCCCTGAGGGAGGGCTACCTGGCTGACACCGTGGACCTCCTCCGCAAGCAGGACTTCCGGGCCTTCAGCTCCCTGGAGGAGGCCGAAGCTGCCAGCCGCCGCCTGGAGGCCCTCAACACAGACGTCCAGGCCCGCGAGCAGAGGTTCCGTGCGCTCAGCGACATGGCCGCCATCATCGAGAAGGCAAACTATCACAGCAAGGTCCAGATCACTAAGAGGTGTGAGCTGGCTCCGTGTGTTTTCTTAATACCCCCCATAAGCTATGTGGCACCAGCAAGATGCATGAGATATTTTCATATTGCAGATTGCTTCTTAGGTCTGATGTTTTCACATTGAAACTCGGAGAGTAGTCTGTCTCTCTTCCTTTCTCCCTGGTTCACGGGTGACTAGAGAGATAAGACCAACGAGGGCTTAGAAGAAAATACATTAATTTGGGTTCTGCATGAGGAAAAGAACTTACAAGTAAGAAAGACACAAGACTGAAGGATACCTCTGGGGAGATTTTTGGTAAACAAATCAAGAACGTGCAAAGCAGTCAATGTCTGTCCTATAGAATTCTCCCTAGCCTCTCAGAAAGAGAACACTATACACCGTTTTTCTGAGCTGAACCCTTAGTGAACATTTCTCACAAATTTTAAACCATTCAGAGGACAGAGATATTGCCCAGACCTACTGGTTGCCTTCCAAATCAAGGTTCTTTCTGCTTATGTATTGCAGACAGGAAGAAATTGACCGGCATTGGAAACATCTCCTCCTTCAGCTGAAGAAGTACCAGGAGAGCCTTAGGGGAGCAGTGCAAACGTTGGCACTGTTTAGAGATATTGAGGTGGTGTCCCAGGACCTTCAGGAGCTGCAGGTATGGAATGATGATGCTCAGAAAAAATCCCAGTCAAGAACTCCTCCTGAAATCCTTGCTATTTAGGAAAACCCTAGAAATCCATTCTACCCCTTTTCCTCTCCACTTCCATCTCATGTTCTGTTTTTCACTGGCCTGTGTGCTCCTGGATGATATGTAACACATTCCTGGGGGTCAGGACACAATACAGTTGCCTCCATGGTATATATCTTATGTCTACCTCTACTCGCCTCACATCCTGCTTTAATTTGACCTGCTCGCTCAGAGCCCATGTTATTGACTATAATCTCCAGCCTGTGTTATTGCTCAGGCCTGGTCCTTTCCCATCTCTGTGAACCTTCTTGCACAGACCCTTGTCTCCTTCCCAGTGATGTGTCCCTCTCTCCTCCTAGGTACAGGCCAGCTCGGCAGATGTCGGGAGGCAGCTGCATGATGTTGTGGCACTGCTGCAGAAGCAGGACCTCCTGGACTCCCAGATCACCTCTCACGGAGAGACTTTGCGCAGTATCAGCCGGCAGGCTGGAGCAGGCCGGCACAGTGACCCTAAGCAGGTCCAGACCCGGATACAAGCTCTCAATACCCAGTACCACAACCTGGTGTCCCAGAGCAAGAGCAGGTGAGCATGCATGATTCGTCCATCTCATGAGCTCATTATTCTACAACAATGATAGGAGGTAAAAAAACTAAAAACTCTAGTTCATCTAGAACCCTAAAGAAGCTGTTTTTTCATTTTTTAGGGTTCCATTATATCCAGTTTAGTGCTATTCATGTACTCTAATTGTGACCTCTTTTTTGTCAAATTGGCTCCTGTTGGTAAAATAATAAATTCTTGTACTGTGACTCCTTGATATAACTACAATTACTGTACTGTACTGTATTATTTTTAGAAACCTCCTGTGCTCTTGTATCTACGATACATATATGCACAAATTTGTATACACATTCAAATCATAGCATATTCCTTAAATTTGTTTTAGTTCTTTCCTGTTTTGGATTTATTTATTTATTAAAAAACAAATGTATTTTATCTATTAAAAAACTATACACATACTCCAGGAGCCAGGCACTACAAGAACAGCTGAAGCTGTTTGAGTTTTTCCGGGACTGTGAGGAGGTGGAATCCTGGATCTACGAGAAGTGGCAGGTGGTGCGCACAGCCACCCTGGGCCGGGACCTCAGCCAAATCCTCCTCACCATCCAGAAGCACAAGGTGTTGTTTTTAACCTTTCAGCACAGAGATTGCACACTGCATTAACATATTGGTGAGCTGAGGGTTTGTGTTCACTGCCAGCATAGGGGGTGTTTTTGCACCTGTTTGTATTTATATCAATTACAATAATGGCAATAACAATACTCTGTTTAGTTCATATCTGACCAGGATATTTACATATCATCATAGATAAATCACACGCATGATTGTAAAAAATTGGTGACCCATTTCACTACTAAATGTGTATTAGAATTCCTTCACTCACCTTTTGTTAAAGGATCTTTCAGATCAACTCTCTTGCTCTTTTGAATTTCACTGTCCTATGTGCTGCAGGCTCTGGAGGCTGAGGTGCAATCCCATGAGACTCTCTGCACTTCTGTGATTAAGAGAGGTCAGAACCTCTGCAAGAAAAGGCACCCCAGTGAGCGGGATATCCAGAAGTGGACTGAGGCCTTACAGAAACAGTGGCAGCAGCTAAAAGACGAAGTAGCCAACCGCAAAACCCGACTGGAGGCTGCCAGCATCATCAAGCAGGTAACCTGATCCCTCACCCCAGAGATGGTCTGAATACAACTGCAAGTAAGGTTGTCTTTCATATATTTAACACTATGGCTGTGGATGGAAATAGGTTATTTAATTCTCATTAATTCATTTTCATATATCATATATCAGACAAAGAGCCAACCACAAAAAAAAAAAAATGGAACTGTCCCTTTTTGGTGACTTTATTTGCAAGTCAATTGTTTTTTTTAACAGATGAATCATCCCCTGTATTATCGATATTTGCATTTGTGTCCTAAAGCAAGAGGAAAAAATGTTGGTAAAAATGTTGGTGCATCATATTTTACATACTACATTTCTTTGGTATAAATAATACATCATTCATTTTTTCCTCTTAATTCAATGGAATTTATGTTCTCTCTGGCCTTGACATTTTGTTTTCTAGTTAAAAAATAAAGGAAATTACCTCTGTTATTTCTCTCCACTCCCACAATGAGTAAAAAATAAAGGCTCTGTCCTTTGAAAGAGACATAAAACTGAGGTCCTGACTCTCTGTGGTCATTAAAAATCCCAGGGTGTTTCTCGAGAAGGATTCTGAGTCCTGGCCAATTCTCCCATTGGCCTTTACCAATCATGGCCTCCTGATAATCCCCATCTATAATTGGCTTCATCGCTCTGTTTTCCTCTCCACTGAGAGTGTGGTGAGCGTACTGGCACACCTTCCAGGTGGGGGCTACACTCTGGTGGTAGTGGAGGAGAGTCCCCATGACCTGTAAAGCACTTTGAGTGGAGTGGCCCCCTTCTGGCCCCACCAGAAAAGCGCTATGTACTGTAAGGGTAAGCAATTAATTGTGGTGGTTGAGCAGCCATGTCTGCCCCCCTCCCCTCAGTACTTTGCTGACGTGAACGAGGCAGACTCCTGGCTGCGCGAGCGGCACCCTCTGCTTACCACTGAGGACTGTGGGAAGGACGAGTCCAGCGCTGACGCCCTGCTGCAGCGCCATCTGCGGCTGGAAAAGGAGGTTGTAGCATATGCCTCTGAGGTGAAGAGGCTGGGAGAGCAGGCCAAGATCGCCGCCCTGCAGGCTCCTCTCACTGTGAGTTACTCAAGGCGGGTGTGTGTGTCCAGTTTAAGCAGTTATGGCCAGAGGAGTGCTTTATGAAGTCAAAGGGAGGGGAGTTATAGTTTAATTGCATCACAAAAGCAGTAGAAATATTCAGTTACTCCATAGGTTAAAGGGATGACTATGGCCTTATAAACTGTTTATATCATCATTGTGTTAAAGATTTTTCATAGACAGCAATTGATGGGCATCTAAACCAAAGGGTGAGCAAACTTTGGTATAAATAGCACAACAGAAGGGTCTTCACATAGTAAACACTGCGTAAGAGATGGAATAGTCCATTTTCCCCTTTCCTCAACAAACATCTGAACAGATCACTGCCACCCTGTCCACGGAGGGTCGGTTACTTGCTTTGAAAAAGCTGTTTAATCGATACATATGCTATCACTGTCATTCTGCTTTTGAGAACTGAGACATCATCTCTGTATGCAAATAATCCTTCAGTTGAGGATGGAATCATTATGACAGCAATTGATCAGCAATGAACTGTGCCTTTTTTTAGGATTGTCATTTGTTTGGTATCATGATCATCAGAATGTCATTGAATAACTGCATTTAAATGCATGTAGCTTATAGGAAAGACATCAATGACTTTGAATGTCCATAGGAAGCATTTATCATGTTTTGAACTGAGGTCTTCAGCTGAGGAGTATAATTGTCACAGGAGATTGATTTAAGATCATTCATAAAGGCAGCAAATATGATATTCCTTGGGCCTCTCCAATCACTGCAGGCAGAGCCCCAGGAGAATAAGAACGCAAGAGACAGCCCATCCTCAGAGGATGAAGACAAGGGTGCTGAAAGAGGGAGGCCTGCAACCCGAAGAGCAGGCAGGGTCACCCAGGTGGCCCCCAGGATGCAGGAGGAAGCTCAAGCTCACATTGGACAGGCCAAGATCAGATTCAAATACAGAGGTAATTCACTCTCCCAAAAAGTAGAGGCACTTTTGTGTGTTTTATAAAACTGATGATGAGCATTGATTTCGTAGGAGAGGAACAGCATTGGTCTGAGTCTCATTGCATGTTTGTTTTGTGCCCAGGTGAGAAGGTCACTCTGGACAAAGGAGAGATGGTGGAGGTCTTGAATAAACCCAACAAGGAAAACTGGCTGGTGAAGGACAGCAGGGGTCATGAACTCTTGGTCCCTGTCTTCTACATCACTGAGCTCCAGGCCAAGGTGAGGACATGGGTGTAACATTGAAAGTGAATCACTCAGGACTCAGCACATAAGATGAAGATCAAGCAAATAAAAGTCAAAATGTCTTTCAAGAAATGGCTGGTTATTCTTGGATCAATTAGATCTAATTACCAAAGGAGCAAGATGACCAAACGGTTTGTAACCTTTCTTTTGTTCTGATCTTTTGGCCAGCTCTCAGTTTGCCAGGAGGAACGTGCTCTCATGTTGCCCTGACAGAGGTGTGATGTATGACAGGTTTGACTGTGGTTTTCAGGTGCAGCCTGTGCCTCCAGCTCTGAAGAATGGGGTTCTGGAGAGCCCACCTCAGAAGGTCAGCCGGCCTCGGCGTAGTCGCTCCATGCGCCGCGGGACCACAGAGATCCAATCCTCCTCAGTGCCAGACCCACACTTTCAGAAGGACACCATCGCTAGCACACAGAGTGTCCTTGACAGTGACTTCCACAGCCTCTGTAGGATGGCTCAGGTGAGCGTGGATTCAGGTGCATTCTACACGGGTCATTGCCAAAATCAGTGCTGGTGGAGAGAAGCGAGATCCGACATTAGCTGTGTTGTGTGATGGGAAAGGAGCCCCTCTGAGGTGTTGGAAGACAGTTGTGGAGAAACAGCACCTGTTGGATGGGTAATCTGAGGAGTCTTTTTTCCTACAGTCCAGGAGGAAAGCCCTGGAGGAGATGATCCGGCTGCACCGCTTCTACAGCGCCTGCCACGGGTTCGAGTCCTGGATGGATGACAAGGAGAATGTCCTCAACACTTTCCAGTCCAATTCGGAGAATGTGGAGGCCATGCAGGTCAAGTATGAGGTAAAAGAAATTGAGCAGTATTTAAGAAAGCTGTCAGTTTTATAAGGAATAATAAAACCACCTCATTAAATGCTATCTTCATTGTATATATAATATTGTAATTCATTCATTTTCAAACACATTGTGCAGCACTGCTCTTTATTGTTCAAACACCAGAGACAATAAGAAACAAATCTGATGGAAGATTAATAATGCCTTTTTTCTCTGAAGAAGCTGGATGGAGTAAACAATGGTTGTGCTTTATAGAAAGATTCAAAATAGATGCCACAATAGAGCTGACAAAAAGTGACATTATAACCTATTATTTCTAAATAAGCCAAGAAACAAACAGGCATGCTGGGCTTTGCTTGCTGCTATGTTGATTGCCAGAGTGACATCCAGAGTGGCTCGTTGGCAGTACAGGTTGTGTTGTTGGTTCCTTGTCATCCAGAACTTCCTGACGGAGCTTGCTAGCGGGAAGGGACGGCTTGATGGCCTCACCCAGCTGGCAGACGAGCTGGTGAAAAGCAGGCACAGCAAGCAGGGGGAGATCTTGTCAAGACAGAGCCAGGCCAACCGCAGGTGAGAGCCACTCGGAGAACAGTCCAGGGTCAGATAAATTCAGCACTGCTATTCACTCCTGGTCTTGGAGGACCGTAGCAGTGCGTGTCTTATATGAAGGTTAAGACCTGGAAAAGCTCCTCCAGGAGCCTCCAGGAGCAGAAGTGAAGCCCATCGGGTGAGTGATGTCCATCTGACCACAGCTCATTTCTGCAGTACAAGTTAAAAGCATGCCACAGTGCCTCAGTGCTTCAGTCCAGACGCAGGGCTGCTGTGGTCCACTCTGATTTCACTTTGGCTAAAGAGGTGTTCTGTATGATGCTGATGTATGGCATTGATTGTCAGGTGGGAAAGAATGCAAAAGCTGAAGGATGAGAAGGCACGAGAGCTGCTGGGGAAGGCAGACGTCAAGTCCTTCCTGCAGAGCTGTCAGGATGCCCGGGTCCTGCTGGAGGAGAAGAGGACCCAGCTGGAGGGCCCTGACATGGGCACCTCGTCATCTGCCCTGAAGACAGAGCAGCGCAGACACTCGCAGGTTGAACGTGAGATCCAAGCTTTAGAGAGGAAGATTGAGTACCTGAAAAATGTAGCCCAAATGTGAGTGTTTTTTTATGTTCAACTGGTGCAATGTTAATTGATACTTAATCAGGAAAACTGTTTGTGTTCTGAAATCCCTCAAGCGTAATTAGTAACCAGGAACTGTGGGTCTGTTGTCCTGCCGGCAGGAAGAAAGACTCAAGCCCAGCAGAGAGTGAAGCCATCATGGAGGAGGTGCGCAGCCTGGAGAGGCTGCTGGGGAGGGTGAAGGAGGGGGCCAGGCAGAGGCACAGGAAGCTGGACGAGGGCGTCCGCAGGCAGCGCTTCCTCCAGGAGAGCCGGGATTTGCTCCTGTGGGCGGAGGCCATGCGCGAGCAGCTGGATGGAGAGGAGAGCGCCTCCGACGTGGCATCTGCCCAGAGACTGCTCAAGGAGAACCAGGACCTCCGCAAGGAGCTGGACTCCCAGCGGGAGAGGTGAGGGGTCTGGTGCAGTACGTTATAACAGAGCTCCTGAAAAGACTCCCAGTAAATCTCAGTTTCCCTGATAAACAAATAAATACCCTAATTTTTAATATAAAAAATAAGTCAGTTGAGAACAAACTCTCATTTACAAGGATGAACAAGAGACCTAACGCCACTGCTGCACAGTAAACAAAGAAACCATAGAAAGAAGTTAAAAAAGTTGAATAACAAAACAGGACAGGACAATATTCTCAAGTGCAAGTATCAAGCAGAAATAGTTAACCAAACAATTGAAAATATCCTCAGATTCAGAAATGGATTGAGAAGGTCCAGAGCTCGAGATGCTGTACAAGTATCTTTAGCACCACGGAATAGATGTCAGATGTGAAATTTAATTCCCAGTCGGGATGTATGGAGATGGCTAGCAAGATTAGCTGTGCTCATATTAGAGACTATATCTCAACACTCCTGGATACAGAAATGTAACCTGGGTTAATGCAGGTCTTACAACATGTCTTAAGGATGGTCTAAAGTTCTGTCCCTCTGTCTAATTTGGGTTACGTCTATGCCCAGGCCTCGGAGTGACGAATCTGTGTGTCTCTCCTGTCAGGATGAAGGCGATGGAGGAGCTCGGGAATTCCCTGGCCCACTCCTCTCCGGCCAACGCCAGCGAGGTCCGCCAGACACAGGGCAAGCTGGCACGCGAGTGGGCCGAACTGGACAAACTGTGGGTGAAGAGGAACAGGCGGCTGGAGGAGGGAGTGGAGCTGCAGACGTTTAACCGCGAGGCCGATCGGGTCGAGGCGGCGCTGTCCAGCCACGAGGCCCGGCTGAGAGTGCAGGATCTCGGGGTGAGCTCCACGAGAACCTGCCCGTTCACTTGTTCTTCAAACCCCTGGCAAGGACTTGGGGTCATGCGAAGGATTGACGTCTTTTACTTCTTTTCTTGTTCTGCTCAGTCCTTAACATAAAACAGAATGATTTCAGCTCCAAGCTCTGAAAGCCACAACATGTCATAGTCCACTTTACTCAGCAACATCTGTATTTCACCAGCCAGCAAAGCAGAGAAATAAACAACTAAACATGCAGAGGTTAATGCACAGGTTAGAAATGCTTTGCTTCACAATAACAATGGGATTTTCATACATTCCAGGGAATTCAAAGACACTGCAAGATTCACATTTGATTTCGTTCAGTAGTCAAACTATTTCTTTGAATCATAGTTTCACATTGTTTCACATTGCTTGTACAGTATCTCATTAGATGTTTTCATGGTATGATGGGTCTCTATTTCAGCAGAGCATTATTCGGTTGTCCTTGAGGTTTAGTGACTGGGTCAGGGGTTGCTCTCATGGGATGAAGGGAAGTGTCCTGCAATCTGCTGTTTCTAACATAATGGCAGTTCATTGCCTGCACAGGCTTAGGGCAGCATGTAACCCTGTCTTTGCCTGGTTTGAAGTGAATGATGTGTGGGACACTGTGGCTGGAGACGTGTGCCTGTCTGTGTGTGTAGGACTCCGTAGACAGTGTCCACAGCCTACTTGGGAGACAGGAGGAGCTGGAGAGTCTGCTGAACACACTGGATCAGAGGATAGGACTCTTGCAGGACAGGGGCAAAGACCTTACTCGCAAAGGCCACTTCGCTGCCAAACAGTAAGAACACAGCCTCCCCTCTGTACTTTCTGAACATCAAAGTTCTAGGGGAAGTAATTTAAAAGTCTTGATTATTTAGAATATATAGAAGGCTTTCCATCTAATGGGGTTAAGGACCACAGATCTGCTGCTGTGGCTGTACTTCCTTACAGAATCCAGCAGAGGGCGCAAGCTATCCAGCAGAAGAGGGATGAACTGGGAGAGAGAAGCAAGCAGAGGAAGACGATGCTTCTGGCCTCGAAGAATTTTCAGGTGCTTCCTTCCTGCCTGGAATTGTCACACAAGTTGTCTTTTGAACCCAGTTTCTTTCCAGCATTCCTATATTGCAAAAAATAGTCAGAATTGTAACTTCGTCACAAGACTTCCTCCGCGGAGATGGAAAAACTACATTCAACGCTCTGCTTTACATTTCCCCTTAATTTGTGAAGTAGATTATCCATAATTAGAATTAATTTAGTAAAGTGGTTTCTAAACCACAATAAAATAATTCTGAAACGTATGTTGCATTCAGACAAACAGTTTTGTGATTAAGAGAATCTGGCAAGAATCCAATAAAAAGGAGGATTAATCCTACCAACAGTATGCAGTAATTATCAGACAAATTTAAAACGGTTCAGACTATTTCATTCTTTATTAAAGCTTGATAAACCGCGAAGGTCTCAATATTGACATCATATTTTCCAGCACGGGAACTTCTCTCTTGGCGTGTTCTCCTCTGCTGATGGGAGTGTGTGTTTCCTGTCTGTGTGTTAACCACAGGAGTTTAACCGGGATGCAAGCGAGCTCCTGATGTGGATGGACGAGAAGTTCAAGATCGCTGAGGACGAGTCGTATCGCGACCCCACCAATGTCCTGCGCAAGCTGAAGAGACACGAGGCGGCCGAGAGAGAGATGCTGGCCAATCAAGTGCGAGTGGACACGCTGAAAGAAGTGAGTATGATAAACGGTGTCTGTTTTGTAAAACTTCTCTCTCCTCTCTCCTGCCCCACTCCCCATTCTTGCCTCTCTGCCTCACAGCAGGTCTCTAAACTGCTTGAGTGTGTGTGTGTGAGAGAGTGAGTGTGTGTGTGTGTGTGTGTGTGTGTTTGGGGGGTCGGTCAGTGTTTTCAAGCAGGTTTGAGAGAAAGCATGACTTTACTGACCGGTTACAAAGTCATGCTGCCGGTGGGGAGTGGGGGGGGTCAGAGTTCGAAACCACAATGCACTTGGGGTCATCCTGTAGTTTCCTGTTCTTGTTCCTGTTGTCTGATTCTAAGAATGCTGGAGGTTGCTGGCATTGTTTCTATCCTTCTGCTCCTCTCCTGCGTCAGAAGGGGCAGGGGCTGCTGGCGCAGAGTCCCTACCAACGCCAGGCCATCCAGGACAGGACGGAGGAGGTGTGCTCCAGGTGGGAGGAGCTCCAGCGGAAGATGACGGACAGGGGGGACAAGCTGAGGCAGGCCGGCCAGCAGGAGCAGCTGATGGAGCTGCTGCAGGTCAGCGGCACCTGACTTCCCCTCTCAGAGTGTCAATAAAGACCAACCTCTGTAGAGACACTAGATATGTCCAACAGGAAAAGAATGTATGGCACACTCTATTGCTATTCTTCCTTCAATAGCAGTGCATGTGCTTTGGGTTCCAAACCTTCTGAATTTGACCATTTCTAGAGCCCAAAGTATTGTCAAATAATATTTTCTCAGGTTCGCCCAAACAATGCTCAGCAGCCAAATGTTTCTTTTTTCTAATTTCCATCATGGAATTTGACTTAATCTGCTGCTTTTGCCTCCTGCGCACGCTACCGCGGACACAGCTCCCCGCCCGTCTTATTGTTCGGTGTTGCCCTTCTGGTTGCCAGGATGCCAGGGTGAAAATCGAGGCCCTCGAGAGGATGCTGCGGGACGCTGGGAAGGGTCACGACCTGCGCTCCAGCCGGCAGCTGCTGAAGGAGCACCGCGAGCTGGAGAAGGAGGCGCAGGAGCTCGCCGACAAGATGAACGCCATCGTCAGCCGGGCCAGGAGCATGGCCACGGACCACTTCGACTCCGACCGCATCCTGCAGGAGACCGAGAAGTACCTGACATGGTGAGCCCTCACACAGGGTTTTCGATTTCTTTTAACAGAGTTAACTCCTCACATCGCACTTTTAAGTGTGTATGCTTTACACATGAGAAAAATGCTTTATAGATGAAATTCCCTCTATTACCAGAATAAAACTACAACTCCCAGCAACACTCACCCTTATCTCATGTATTGTTTTATTATTTCCTTCTCACACCTGAAGAAGGCTCCACGGCCGAAACATTGTGTTCTCTTTCTTCTTTTTTTCAACATGGAATAAACCTATTACTTGTTCCTTTGCAGCCTACGTATGCTGACGCAGCTACCCACCTGAACTACTTGTTTTATTATTGTCCTGTTGGTTGACATGTTAACTTCAACACATTTCCACCCCATCGAAAAGCACAGTTTTGCCATAGGCAAGCTGGTCAACCCTTTCCTTTCTAAAAAGAATTGACATTTCATGCCACTTTCACCTTTTTTTTTTTTAAATGTAAAAGTCCTCATTGCTGATGAGCCACATTCAAGAGCCAAGCGCCCGTGGTGTAACAGTTTGTGAGTGAGCAGTGAGCAGTGAGATGGGTGAGAGGCTGGTCAAGGGATTTCTCTAATAATTGTGCTCCATTTACAATCTCCCTAGTGCGTTTTTCACTTCCAAGTCCCAGATACAGATACAGATACAGATACAGACGCAAACGCTGATGCAGATACAGACACAGATGCACAGCAGACACTGACGCAGGTGCAGACGCAGACGCAGACGCAGACGCAGTCGCAGACGCAGACACAGACGCAGACACAGACACAGATACAGATGCTGACCCAGATGCAGATGCAGATGCAGATACAGATGCTGGCGCAGACGCAGAAGCAGAAGCAGATGCAGATGCAGATACAAAAGCAGATGCAGATGCAGATACAGATGCTGGCGCAGACGCAGAAGCAGAAGCAGATGCAGATGCAGATACAAAAGCAGATGCAGATGCAGATACAGAAGCTGGATGGAGGGTTTGGAGTAAATGCGAAGGGCAAAATTGAGGGATATAGTGCTATGATGTGGAAGGCGCTAACCTGGTTTCTTTCAAGAAATGGCTGGATGGGATCTTTGGATCTGCTAATGAACAAGCAAGCTTGAGTGATGAAACACTTTGGGCTGAGACAGTGTGAATCATGCGCCTGTTCCTGTGTTTTGCAGGTTTGAGTCTCTGCAGGGCCCGCTTGCACACCGGAGGACCCAGCTGGAGACGTCCGTGGCCCTGTTTGAATACTATCATGACGTGGACTTTGAGCTGAACTGGATCTCAGAGCGCCTCCCTCTGGCCATCTCCACTAACTACGGGAAATCTTTGGCCAGCGCACTGAGCCTGCTGCAGAAACACAAGGTATCAGACCTGCCTTAAAAACCTCCTAAAAAAGGTCCTAGAAGTGTCCATAAATACACACCGCAATATTGTCCACATACCTTCATGCACTTGTGAGTATGTAATGTTGTATTTACATAATCGTGCAAAGAATAGTAGCGTTCCCTGATGTTGGAGACACAGGGATGCTCACTCAGAATTGTAATTCTAAGACAATTTAATTCCATTTTAAATGTTACAAGATACTGTAGAAGATGAATTACTGAACCAAAATCAAAATCAATCAAGCATATACTGTGCAGTTCATCACCGTTTCAATGTCAAAAAACCTGTCTGCACCCCAATAAAGTACAAGGTGCTGGCTGGCATACAAGAGCTAATTGTAGTTGTTGCCGTGCCCCTGTGTGTCCTGTCAGGACCTGCAGGCAGAGGTGAACGCCCACAGGCAGCATGTCAGCCGCGTGCTGAAGAAGGGGGGCGTCATGGCCGAGTCGCGTCAGTTTAGGGCCGAGGACGTTCTGGAGAGGAGCCGGGAGCTGAAGCTGGAGTGGGGGAAGCTGGAGAAAGCCTGCGAGGACAGGGCTTCCTGTCTCCACTGGGCTGTCACCCACCAGCAGGTAAGACACGCCCCTCCTTCCGCTCCTCAGCCAATCAGAATGGGGCTTTCCCCCATCATTGCAGAGTTAGAACATGCCCATGTTCTTAGAGAGAAAGCAAATCCAGCACACTGAACAATGTCCTTTAATTTACTGTGTATTCAGGAAAGTCCTCTGACTGGATGTCTTCTTGTCTTTTCTGGTGCTTTTAGAGGATTAGACTTTCCATCTTTGATGTTAATTAAAAATGTACAACCTTTTCCAGACAGGTAGTTGGTTGGCCTCCCCTTTGTTTGATCTTTGTCGGTTGTGTCGATGGGCACCAGTAACCCTTTTGGCCCCGCGCTTGCAGATTGTGCTGGATACCGCCGAACTGGAGGCCTGCGTGTCGGAAACGCTGCCCCTGGTCAGCAGCGACGACTATGGCAAGAACGAGCAGGCCACTCTCAGCCTCATCAAGAAGCACAAGGTAATAATAATAATTGCTTACACGTCTATAGCGCTTTTCTGGACACTCCACTCAAAGCGCTTTACAGGTCGTGGGGATCCCCTCCACCACCACCAGTGTGCAGCCCCACCTGGATGACGCGACAGCAGCCAGTGGGCACCAGTACACTCACCACACACCAGCTCTCAGTGGGGAAGAGAACAGAGTGATGAAGCCGATTCAGAGATGGGAGTTGTTAGGAGGCCATGAGTGGTAAAGGCCAGGGGGAAATTTGACCAGAATGCCGGGGTAACACCCCTACTCTTTTTGAGAAAAGCCCTGGGATTTTTTAAAGACCACAGAGGGTCAGGACCCTGGTTTTACATCTCATCTGAACGACAGTGCCTACAGTATAGCATCCCCATCACTATATTGGGGCATTAGGACCCACACAGACCACAGGGGGAACACCCCCTGCTGGCCCCACTAATACCATTAACACCAGGGTAGCCATACGCTACCGGCCGTACGGTGCTGAGGTTCAGGGTGTGGCAGTGACAGTTCCGACCTGTGTCCTAGGTGGTCGGCGGGGAGGTCGAGGCGCTGTGTGAGCAGGTGGGCGAGCTGCGTCACAGGGCGGAGCGAGCCTCACAGGAGAGAGGGCAGAAGGGCTTCGATGAGGTGGACTGGCCTCAGGACCGCCTGCAGAGCCAGCTGGGCAAACTGCAGCACCTCGCCGCAATCAGGTACCGCGAGCGAAATCGTTAGCCAGCAGTCTATCTCAAATACAATTATTCTACAGTGTGTGAAATAAATCTTCATTGAATATTTCACTTAACCTGCATGTGATTGAACCGTTAGAAATACATCACAGTTCCGCATTTAAATCCTTGATGCCAGTGATCTCCATGGCACTGAGCTGGCGAAGTTTCCCACCTGTGCCTGCTGTCTCCGTCCAGGTCCCAGCGACTGGAGGAGGCGTTCCGATTCCACGAGTTCAGCCGCGAGTCCGGGGAGCTGGAGGACTGGATCGCTCAGCAGAGACAGGCTGCATCCTCCGAGGACTATGGGAATGATTACGACCATGTGCAGGTGAGGCAATTTTACCATCCTTGAAGGGAAAAAGATGCCTGAAACATCTAATGATTTCTGTTTGTGATCTTTCTGCTGCCTCTGAAGTCACCTTGCTGATGTCCTGCTCATAGTTGCATTAGAATGCGCTGAAAGCAGGAATTCATCAGGTTGCATGAGAAGGCTAAGCTCAGTGACAAGTGCATAACTACTTTGAAAACAAAACTGTTGCTAGACATCATGTGCAATGATGAAAGACTCCTGTAATGCAGTGTTATTGCACTGTCTTTATGATTCAATAAGAAGGAATTATATTTATCCATAAAGGTTAAGTAGCAGGTGGAATGGCATAATCTGCTGACAGTAATGGTATGCAATGTTGGGGGGATTGTGTGTCTCTGCAATCTCTTTCAGCACCTGCAGGGGAAGTTCGATGTGCTCCAGAGGCAGCTGGAGGTGGGCACGGAGAGGGTACACAGCTGCCAGGGACTTGCTGATTCGCTTATCTTGCACGGGCACCCGCAGGCTCGCCAGGTTCAGGAGCTGCAGGACCGCCTCAGGTAGGGTACAGTACAAGTGCTGACCCCCCGGGGAGGCGTGCAGTAATCAGGCTGAAAATCCCTCCAGGTGCTCACGCCTGGCCCAGCTGCTCAGACCACTCGTATGCTTCATGTGCAATGCTGGCAAATTATTATTCCCTGCCAGTATTGTTTCAATACTGTGGCTGTGACTCACTGACTTCACTTCTGGAGCAGGAAATATACAGTAGCGTTTTTATTGAATGTCCTCTAAAATAAGACTGCTACCTAATGTGCAATATATATGTTAACATTCTGCTTTACTGGGAGAGGAAAGAAGCAACAGGTCAACTCATACACTTTCTGCATTTACAGTAGAAGATAATAGGTCTCTTGCTTTTTAATCTGGATTTAAATTACCTGTGGTCTGGTCTGTATGTATGAATGTTTGAATCTATACACTGAATCTGCTTCTTAATTGTTAGATATTTCTTCTTAAACCTCTTTTGCCTCCTCTCTCTGAAAGAGCTCTGACCTCGCAGAATTCAATAACAGCCACCTCCTGCCTCGTAGCACCAGGCCAGAGGTCTCTTCTTTTTAAATGCCATCCTGCTGTGCAATCTCTTTCACCCAGGCGCTCCTGGGAGGAACTGCTGGAGTTGGCCCGGGTTCGAGGGGAGAAGCTGCAGGATGCTGAAGAATATCACAGATTCTACCGAGACCTGACAGATGCCCTGAACCACATAGAGGTCAGTCTGGGTGATGCTGGGCTGAGGGCACTGCCGAATAAAGGAGTTATGGCATCTATAGGAGGACAGACTCCACTGAATGCAATCTGAGCCTGAAGAACATCAAGTAGCTCTTTGGGAAAATATTTGCAAGCTTCTAGAGATATCAAGCAAATGAGTATGGACAGGGCTGTGACGGTTATCCAGAATGAACCAGATTGATGATACTGTGCCCAGAACGTGATACAATGAGTCTGAAAGGGTCTGGAAGGAGGTACAGTACATGTGAGAGGTTTGCAACAGTAACAGTTTTGTAACAAGCTGATATGTTCTGGTTCTAGTCTCATTGACCACTGGAGTGTGCATCCTAGACAGTCATATCTCCAGTACAGAGAGCTGATTCTGAGAATTTGCTCAGGAGCACTACGGTTTTAAAGCAACGCCACTCTCCTCCCTCCAGGAAAAGTACAAGAGCATTCCCGACGACATTGCGAAGGACCTGAGGGGGGTTTTGGCGCAGCTCCGCAAGCACGAGGCGCTGGAGCACGAGCTGGCCGGCAACGAGCAGCAGGTACTTCAGTGGCCATGGAGAGCACAGGACGGAGCTGTCAAATATGAGAATATCCCAGCATTGTAAAAAGTTAACATTTACATAAGAAGTACATTGAACTCCGCTGGGGAGAAACAAGGGAGAAACAAGGGGAAACAAGGTGCATTTTCTTTTACATCTCTGGTTGGAAGAAAATAATAACTCCTAATTATTCTGCAAAATACCTTTTAATATTGTTTTTTTATATAAGTTTTTTTTTTTAATATATCTAAATATTTGTAAATATGAGCCCTCAATATAAGCTGTAGGTAAAGATTTACAGTAAAACTGAGAAAAGGAGACAGCTCTTTATCCCCCACGTGAGTGCAAGTCTGGAACAAGTTGCTCAGCAAGTTGCTCCTGCGTCTTTCTAGAAACGCGTGAGAGCCTTGGATCATTTCGCTCCTTGGTCCCACACACGCTGGACGGGCCGGCGGCCTCCTCTCGTTCGTAACGCTTTCTGTCTCTCTTGTGTGTCAGCTGCAGGAGCTGCTGGACTCTGTGGAGCCCATCCTGGAGCGCTGCTCCCAGGAGCAGGCCTCTTTGCTGCAGGACCGGCAGCAGGCGGTGGTGGAGCGCTGGGAGAAGCTGCGGGCTCGGGTGGAGCAGCGGCGCGAGGATCTGGAGCAAGCTAGCCGCCGCTACCGCTTCCTCAACACGGTGAGAGGCGGAGGAGAGCCGGGCCGGGCCGAGCAGGGCTGCCGGGGGGAGGGACTGAGAATCCAGGAGGGCGTGCCGTCTGTACGCTCCCAAACGGAGATCAGCTGCATTTGGCGTCACATCCTGGGAGGTGGGAGTGAGCGATGTGGCGGGAAAGCAGCACTCGAGGTGAAAGAGCTGAGGGAAAGTGAGACCGCTGTGCTGCCGTGCAATCTCACGTCAACATCATGGCCGCCCAGTGCAATACGACACAACACAATCTCGTAGATTTATAAAGCACCATCCATGGAAGCAACAATAGTGCTGTACAATTGAAAGCCAGTAATTAAATAAGTCAAAAGGTAGGAGTGGAATGGTTTTACTGCAGTGGGCAACTAATTGCTTTGAAACAAAATTGAGATCTTAACCCCCACCTGCTTTCTTCGATCACCTTTTGAGCAGTGTTAAGACCTGCTGTTGCAGATCACTGCTGGTGGGTGGTTGAAGTGCATGAAATGAGAGAAGTGGTATTCACTGGGCTGGTTTTGAAGGAACAGTGGGGCACAGTTGTACTTTGCTTCTTCTCCTTTTCTTATTGCTCTCTTTTGCACTTGGTGCGCCAGGTGCAGGACTACTTCCTCTGGTGTGCTCAGGTACTGAGCTACATGAAGGCAGAGGTGTCCATCCGGGACGTGTCCACCAGCAACATGCAGCTGATGCAGCACCAGCAGCTCTGGGCCGAGATACAGGCCCGTGAGGAGACCTTCCACCAGGCAGTCACAATGGGCCAGGAGCTGCTGCAGGAGGAGATTCCTGCTCCCAAGGAGGTACTGTATGTGACGCTGTACACCAGGAGATCATCTCGGCCCATGGCTGACAGAATGTACATTTAATCCTCAGTGTTGAATGGTCACCTGGATAGTTGCAGTATACATGCAATGACTTTGCAAGCATCAGTTAAAATCATAATTGTGTAACAGAGAATTCCATTAAGTAAATTGTGATAAGTTTATCAAATGAGAATTGTCTTCACTGGGTTACCCCTCATTTCAAATTTTCTATTTCTTACTCAAACCCAGAATTCTAAAACAGGAGGTATTCATTTCACACACCCAAAGAAGCTCCAGAGCGAAACCATTGTGTTTTTTTCTTCTCTGATTTACATTTTGTCATGGAATTGTAAAGTAAAAATCCACCGAAGACCTTGTTTGCTATGCAGAAAAGGAGTTCATCGTGTAAACGGCTGAGGAGAAACATAATTAGGAAGATGTTTCCCAAAAAGAAGAGTTACAGTTGACCTTTTATACACTTACTTGATAAGGAAAACAAAGAGCTTAAGTCTCAAACAGAATAAAACTTCGGTCTTACTTAATTTCTATTGGTTAAGCAAACCTCTCCTTTAAATCAGGAGATGTCAACATAACTATAAATGTCTTCTACAAGCAGGTGGTTATAATTGGCTTTCAACTCTAAATAACCTTTGAGATTCTCAAAACACACATTTTTTCTGTGTGTCTGCAGGCCTTATCAGTAGCTGTTTCCTCTTGCTGAACATGGTGTACTGAGAAAGAATTTTCCACCCTTCAGAACCCTGCCTGTTCCTTTGCACCTTGTGCATTGATACAGCTCCCCACACTCACCCCTGTCCATATTTCCACTCATTCTCCTGCCTGTTTCTTGGAGACCGATGACTCCCAGTGCTCTTTCACCTGCAGGTCAGGGACAAGCTCGGAGCTCTGCATGCGGAAAGAGCAAAGCTGCAGGAGCACTGGAATTGTAAGAAGCTCTGGCTGGAGGCCACCTTCCTGGAGCAGGTCTTCTACAGAGACATTGCCCACATGGAGAAGCTCATGAACACACAGGAGGTCAGGCTATAGCTACCTCTAGAAATGTTCAAGAAAATGTGGCTGTAGGTGGGATTAATTACCTGTTGAAACTGCAAAATATGTATGGAGAGTTACTAAGGTACATTTCTGTAAGGCCATTGACAAACATTTACTGTAACTGGGGATACAATTTACGAAGCCTGGACAAAGCCTTCATTTTCACAAACTTCAGGAAGTTCCAACAACAAGTTGTCTAAGTTGCATTCATTCTGAAACTAGTTCATTGCATCTCTGATGTATTACATATCTCATTACTGGAAACGCAAGGGAGCTGCTCTAGAAATACAGTAAAAAAATGTGTTTGTAAAGAGGGAGAAACATCTCTAAGTCCCTTGGAGAAACAGCTGTCTTTCAGGTACTGTAGTCAGGTAATTGAAGTACGCGCCTATCTTTTCAGATCCACCTGAAAAGCAGTGATCTTGGAGCTTCTGTAGATGAGACAGAGAGGCTCATTAAACGTCACGAGGCCTTCGAAAAGCTGCTGAGCTCCCAGGAGGAGAAGGTCAGACAAAACGTTTTATTTTGTTACAAAAGCAGAAACATTAAATCCAGGGGATTGTGCTCTAGGGCGTAGACTATCTTTCCTCAACACTCTGGAATGAGCAGGACATGACTGGTAATCAGCAGCAGGCACATTTTGTCATGTTTGGGCCCGATGTGGACATCCTGCAGTAGCCTGATATTTGTATCTACTGTTCACTGTGCTCATTTTTTCAGGTAAAATCACTCCAAGAGCAAGCTGAGAGGCTGAAGAAAGAGGACGTTAAAAAGGAGAATGCAGCGCACATTCAACACAAGCTAAAGGCTGTTCTGGAAAGGAGGAGTCGCATCAAGGAGCTGTCTGCACGACGCAGGGAGGAGCTGTCCACAGCCAGGCTGTTTTCTGTCTTCAACAGAGACCTGGCAGAGGTACAGAGGAGAGTGTGCTACTGGCAAGAAGACACATACTGTAGTCAGCATGTATGAAGATCTGTAGAATGGCTTCATCTCATTTCTAACCTTCCTTTTCTGTTTTTGTTTTAATGCTCTTATGCCATTGGTTTTATGTCAGTGGACCAACCTGAGGCACCCACACCCAATGTTAAAACGTTAAAGAGCAGTGCCAGACACTGATAAATTTTGCCACTCATTCATTCACTCTCGTGGGTTTTTGAAGGCGGAGGGATGGATTTCAGAGAGAATGCAGAAGATGCAGGATGATTCCAAGAAGGACCTGAGCGACCTGCAGGTTAAGATGAAGCTGTTGCAGAAACACCAGGCTTTCGAAGCAGAGATCCTGGCCCACGAGGAGATCATCACTTCTGTCCTGAAGGTTGGCCAACTATTCATTGAGACTGGGGAGCTCCATAATCTGATCATGACTGATATTAAGATCAAAGACAGGATGTGTCTTTTACTCTGCAAAGTGCAAGTGAGGCCCAGTTCATCAGTTTGTTTTCTTAAAAACAGTTATTTCAAAGGATTTGGAACACTTTGCTAACTATAGCTGTTGCTATAAATGAACAGCTATTGATCAATTAAACAATTAAACTCTGGCTTCTAAGGGCTTAAATCTATTCAGATTTGTTTCCCAATAATATTAAAATCATTTAATTGGAAAAATTCTGATATGTCACTGCCACTGTGACAGACCTTTCTTAGTTAAGCTGTGTTTTTTAACCAAACTGATCGGTGTCCAATCCCCAGACAGGAGAAGAGCTGGTCACGTTACGCCATCCCAAATCCTCTGAGGTGCGCCGGGGTGCCAGAGTGCTTAATGACCACTGGGAGGCGCTGAAGAGGGCAGTGGCAGCAAGAGGAAAGGTGCTGGAGGACAATAGGGACTTCCTGGAGTTTCTGCAGAAGGTGGATCAGGTGGAGGCCTGGATCCGACAGAAGGTATTGTGATGTGTGGCCCTGCGTGAATAAAATTCTATGTATATAAAGACCTTGACAACAAACCTTCCACTTAGGAGCTTCCACTCCAGCAGAAATATAGAGTTCAGGGGGTTGTGAGCTCAAATCCTTGCAGAAGATCATAAATCAAAACCACTTTATGGTATTCAAGGCCTTGACTTTGTTCATGCACGGACATTGCAGGGATAATTTCAAGAGACCAGGCATATATTGCTTAAACCAAAAGGCACCGTAGCTCTGGAAAATGCTTTGAGCGTAACATTTTCCCCCTTTTCAACAAAGGTTTGCTAAGATTTGAATTTTTTTAATGTGGTCAGTAGAGCAAGCACCCAAAGTCTGACCTTCCATGGTTTCAAACAGCTCTGTGTTAAATCAAATTAGAGGAGGAAAAAATCCGTAACAGTGTAAATTGAGAGTAAATTCTGTAATTCTGTTCATGGGCTCTGTCTGCAGTTTCCTGCCAGTGCCAGTTCTTTTCTGTGTTTCTCCCTGACACTTCCTGCCCGCTCCCTGTTTCTCGTCTCTTCAGGAGGTGATGATAAATGTGGGAGATGTTGGAGAGGATTATGAACATGGCCTGCAGCTGCTGAAGAAGCTCAATGAGTTCAGAGGGACAGGCTCAGGGGTGAGTGTGGGGTCTGGGGTGACACGGAGTGTGGAAATTGGCTGTATGTCGGATTGTCACTACCCTCCTCTTTTTTGATTGTTGGGAAAGCATTCCAATCCTTAGGCAGCAACAGAAAGAGCCTCTGGAATATAGTAGTCCATCTGTGTCACTGCAGTGTTTCTTCCTTTGAAGTGTTTAAATAACGTCAAACTTCAAAGTTGTGAATTAGCCAGGTGCATTACATGTGATAACGCTGTTCCTTGCTTTGCACTGGATCGGAAGTGTATCTGAAGATTTCCTCTTGATAGAGAAGAAGGGAGGGGGAGGAAGGCAAAGGGAATAGGGCTGTAAATAGGGAGCAGGATTCTGCTTCAGACACTTGTCTTAGTCCCGGAGGGGCGGCTCTGAATGCCTGTTATGCAGAGGGGATGATTGATGTGTCAACAGGAAGTAACAGTGGACGATGCCCACATCAAGGCCATCAATGCTCTGGCTGCGCGGCTTGAGAGACAGCACAAAGAGGAAGTGACCACTGTACGCCAGCGCAGACAGCAGATGAATGACAGGTAATCAACATCACTCACCGCAGCCCCCAGATTCTTGTTGCCTCTTGCTTGAAATTGTCTTGATCATGAAACCACCCTGAAAATGAGTCCTCTCCAGCGACTGCAAAGGGTTCTGGGGAACAGTTGACGGTTGTCTGCTTTGTGCTGTCAGAATGTTTGTGACACACATGTGGGAACACCCTGCAGCACAGAGACAAGCTTTCCGCTCATTTATCAGACGTCCTGTTGATGCTCCAGCTGGGTGAAAAACTACAGCTAACCTGGGTTTCTCATCCTAAGATGGAGCAGTTTCCACGGCAACCTGAGCAGGTACAGGAAAAAGCTGGAGGGGGCGCTAGAGGTCCATGCACTGATCAGAGAGCTGGAGGAGCTCCGGGAGAGGTCGGGGGAGAAGGTGAGAGGACATGGCGAGGAAGAGCTTACATCTGGTCCTGTAATCTGGCAAGCATAACAAGGATGAGACAATTCTACAGCACAGCCCAACACAGCAACAGCAGCAGCAAGAAGTAACAAAACAACATTGAGTTGAATGTAAAGCTTGTAACAGTATATATATGCAAACCACATGAGTTTTATTGAATCCCCTAATTGAGCCCACTCCCAGCATGATTGTTCCGGTGCTGCAACTGCGAGCAACAAAAAGGGTCAAGATTATGAAAACGTCAAGATACTCATTCAACCAATTAAGAGCTGTAATAATTCTAGTGAACCTTCTGTATAACACGTGTTGGCGGTCTGTGTCCTTTCCTGTGGTGTCCCTGATCCATGCAGGGGCATGTCTAATGGGGTTTTCTGTGGCGCCTTGCAGAGCTTGCTGATGCAAGGGCTGGACTATGGGCAGGATGTGCCGAGCGTGGAGAACCTGATTCGTCGGCACGAGGAGACCGAGCGAGAGATTGGCATCATCCAGGAGAAAGCAGCGGTGTGTATTGAGGGGACAGACAGCTGCACACGGAGCTCCCTATCAGTGACATAGCGGCTCTGCTGGATGTGTGCAAATAGTGCCTTCTTATAGTTGCAAGGCTATAAGAATGAACCACATCTGAATTCAGAACTGAAAGCTTGTCCTCTTCTTACTTCACTACCACTAGATGTCCCACAGCGACTCCCATTCCTGCATATCTGTGGGGCAAAGACCACACTTCCCCTGTGATCATGGCCTTTCAAACTAGTGGATCAGCTGAAACCAACTGGCCAGAATTCCTCCTGCCTTCTGAGCTGTAAACTCTTGCAAAACGTCTTGAGTAATTTCCTTACTGTATCTGGGATTGCATCCTTTATGGCTGCGTGCCTTTGTAGGGAGGTGTTGGCCAGTTGACAAAATGAGGATTGAGCAACCCAGTGTTGAAGTAAAGGGATAATTACTAAGAGTTTTCAAATCTGAACTCTGGCTCTGGTACCAACTCAACGTGTGTTGCCTTAAACAAATTCATCCTTGTTCTCCATCCCTATACCTGAGATTCTAACATACAGTAAGTGATCAGCAGTGGGACATGTGTAATTCAACCACTGGTTTATATCAGTTCTATCCATCCATTATCAGAAAACCACTTACTCCTGGCAAGGGTTGCAGCAAACCCGACACTATCGGAGGGGGTGCAAGGAGGTAGTGTACTGCACCATGGACAGTACACCAGCACACTGTAGGACACCCACAAAACACTCACACACACTCTGGGACAATTCAGAGAGTTCAGTTAACCTAACAAGAAAGTCTCTGAGAAGTGGGAAGAAACTGGAGCACCCAGAAGAAGTTAAAAAGAATGAATAGAGAAAGCTTCTTCAGGCAGGGGAGGACCAACATTCTCCATTTTACAGAAAGAGGAGAAGATGCAGAAGTGTTTTGGGTACTAGAAGCACCTGAAATTAACGAATCCCTGTGGTTTGATGGGTTTCTTATCAATTGTTCTCAAGGAAACAAGACATGTTTATGTTTTAAAGAAAATTCCTAACGGGGTGCCCTCTGCAGAGAATTGAACTCAGGGCCCTGCAGTTGTGAGGCAGTAGCATTAGCTATGAGGCCACTGTGTTGTTTGTGTGGAGAAGTTCCTTTGAATCATCTTTGCTGTGACAGGCCCTGGAGAAGGAGGCTAAGACCAAGGTGAAGACCCAGCCAGTGATGGCAGAAAAGCTGAACAGAAAGCAGAAAGAGATGAGAGATGCCTGGCTGAAACTGGAGAAAGAGGCGAAAGTGAGGTAGGAGAGCAGGTCGGGCAGATGCTGAGAATGTGTTTCAAGTCCTTCCTGTGCACCTCTATCTCGCACTTTCACTTGGACACAGAGATACTGTATGCAAAAACACAGAGAGGTTTAGTGCTCAGCACAGGAATTGTGATAAGGGAGCTTCCTGCTGTTCCAGGAAAGAGAAGCTGCAGGCGTCTCTCCAGCTGCAGATGTTCAAGGCAGACCAGCGCCCTCTATTGGACTGGGTCCTCAAAGTCACCACACAGATGGGTGAAAGTGGGCTGCCTAAGAACAAGGCAGAAGCTGAGCAGTTCATTGCAGAGCACCAGAACACAAAGGTAAGAAAACACACCAGTGGTTATGCACTCAGAGTTAAACCTCACGGTTAGTTATAGCACTGCTGTATTTAAGCTTTGGAATAAAGCCATTTCTTTTCACACTTCTCACAAACTTAATATATATGGAAATATATGGATATATGGAAATCCCAGGGGAAGGTAGATAATGTTGTACAGAATAATTTTTAACAGGTTTTGAACTTATTTTAATTATGGGTACGCTTCTTAACACAAGTCTCACCCCTGAACATGGTAGGCTATGTGATGTCCTGTTTGTTCTGACAGCTGGTTAGTTTGAGACACTTCAATTGAGAAAAAAAAGTCTTTCATTACAGGCAGAGATAGATGCACGTGGAGACCGCTTTGATTCTGTGAAGAATTTGGGCCAAGGTCTGGTCAGGTCTGGTCACTATGCATCCTCAGAGATCCGTCAAGCACTCAGCAAACTGGACGAAGCTCGGACTGGACTGAACCGGGTTTGGCAGGACCGTAGCCAGAAATTGGATCAGGCTCTGGAGCTCCAGGTATCAACTACAGGGGCAGACATTAGTAAAACCACAGAGAGCCAGCTACCCCACCTGTAGGGCATATTGAATCCGACGATGATCTTTTGATCATCCTGGTCTGGATTTACAACAATAAAATATCAATTTCAGAATGCTTGCCTTTGATACAATTCAGGCAATTCATTTTATTTTTAATATATCACATTTTCTATATAGGAACAGTGTATAATAAAATAGGAAAACTAAAACCATGACATTCCCCATATTTTGAATCTGCATAGCATGAATCTGTAAAAGCAGACAATAAAGTAAATAATGTAATTTGTTTCCTAGGATTGTGAACAAAGTTCCTTTATTTCTTAAATTCATATATACACAAAAAAGCCTGTTTTCCCTGAAGAGAGGACATCAAAGGGGAGTAGTTCTGACTGAGGCAGCAATGAATAATGAAACAAAAACCAGCCCCAGGAATCTAACAATTAAGAAGTTATGATCAGCCTAGAAAAGAAAGGTTTTGGGACACCTTGAGAAATGATAATTGTATCTACTTTCTGTCAGTAGTAATGCAATACAAAAATAGCTTTTAATTAACACAATAAACCTGTGTACAGGAATTACACTGATATTTTGTACCGTTGGGATATTGCCACAGTGTGGCATCACTGAGCTGAGGATGTCTCAAGTTTTTGCAGTTTTCACTTTTCAAATCACTTTAGGTAGGAGGTGCTTTTGTTTTGAATCAAAGACATTGGTTGACAAAATCACTATTTGGTGTGCTGGACCAAGAAGTGTCAGTTGTCTGACACAGTGGCACTTGTGAGGGTGCCCTCTGTTGGTACAGGATTGGATTTGCACCTATGATGCCACAATAGAAGAAAAGCAGGTTATGTTTGACTCTCTCCCTTGTACTGGGAACTAGAGTTCGAACCCTAGCTCCATGTATGGTACTTGGGAAAAATGTCCACGAAGTTGAATTAAAACTCTGCAATGTCAAATACAGCTTCTGCTACAGTATCAGATACAACAGTTCCTATATATTGAATAAAACTACATGAAGTTCACACCAGAACCGCGGGTCATCTTGGTTTCCATGGTACTAAGTAGGAGTAAAGCACCTCCTACTAGTCCAGCACAGGGATTCCTCAGCAAGGCTAGTCCCTGCTTATGCAGCTGGCTGGACTGGGGCAACCAGAGAGAGGCACTGAACTCAACAGCAGTCTCTGTCACTGGGACTTGAACCAACAACTTCTCAGTTAGATGATGAAGGACTTACCTACTATGCTGCACAGCACCCTAGTATTAAATATAAAGTGGGTGAAAAAATGAGTGTGATCAGGAGAAAGATGTTTGTAATTTAGAAGCTTTCTTTCATGGATGTGTCAAAGCGCTTGCACTGTTCCTGATTGCAGGTTTTCTATGGCTGTGTGGAACAGTGTGAGAGCTGGCTCAGCAACAAGGAGGCCTTCCTGGCCAATGAAGACCTTGGGGTATCGTGTCTGTTGTTGTTGTTGTTGTTGTTATTGTTGCGTAAAATGCTAGTTCAGTCTGATTTGTTGTAAGCTCTATAGTAGATGCAGGTTTTGCAAAAACTTGTCCTGTCAAACTGAGTTTCCATGAATTATATGTTGGGGCACGCTCATCTTCATATGACAAACCTCTGTAGTCTGCAAGAAAGTACTGTTTTTTTTCCAAGTAAGGCAGGGGATGCGAGAACTACACATGTTTGAGTTCAGCTATGAGCATGTGGCCATAGTGAGGTGTGAGCTGTGTCTGTCCAGGACTCCCTGTCTGGGGTGGAGACTCTCCAGAGGAAGCATGCCCTGTTCGAGAAGGCAGTGGAGGCTCAGCTTGAGAACGTGGAGACAGTGGAGAGATTCGCCCGGCAGCTTGTGCAGAAACGACACCCCCACTCCGGCGACATTCAGAGCAAGAGTAAAGCAGTGCTGCTCAGGTGATTGTCCCAGGGAACAGCCTTTGTCAGTCTGTGTCAGGGCATGCGTGTTTTATGGGCCCATTTTAAAGGTCTCAGCCCTGCTCCTGAAGCTTTGTCTGGATTCTTCTGTCTTGCAGGAAGGAGAAGTTAATGGAGAACAGCGCAATTCGCAGGAGGAGGTTGGAGGATTCACTGCAGCTCCAGAAATTCTTGGGCAGCAGTTATGAGGTAAAGAAGGGGCCAGAGGGTGTTGCCGTCAGTGAGATATCCATGAGTATAAACAGTTGTTTTTTTCATGACATCTTGCATTATGTGTCACTATTCAATGCCACAAAATGTCGTGACCTGTTTGTGGGAAGTGTTCAATAACAAAACATTTTTTTAGTTTTGCAATTTGAAGCTTACAGTAAATGGAATCAATGATCTCTGTGTTTTTTTCCTCTAACTGATATTCATGGTACTAGACCTTTTTTTGTGAGTATGCAGGAAAAGGATCTCTTTTCATCACAACACACAGCTTTTTAATTTTGAATAGAGCTGTTTTCATGACCCCCGTGTTAAGAGTCACATTTCAGTTACAGCTCACAATGATGCAGCAGGTCTATGGGAATGAATCAAGTAAACAGTATGTAATACACTGTGCATTTCCAAGGCATTTCCAAGCAGCAAGAAGGTGTGTCTCCATGTGTAATCCCTGTGTGGGGGAATATGTAACCTCCATACATGAGCAGCTCTGATCTTCGAGTGTGCTTGCTGTTGTCAGGTGTGCTCCTGGCTTAGTGAGAAGAACACAGTGGCTTTGGATGAGAGCTGGAGAGACCCTACTAACCTACAGGCCAAGCTGCAGAAACACCAGAGCTTTGAGGCTGAGATCCTGGCCAATCATAACCGTGTGGAGGCTCTTACCAAGGTACAGCACACCTCTCACCAACAGCACCTCACCCTTACAGAGCCCCTTACAGTCTGGGTCCTGTAGCGTTTCATAAAAAGAAGAGAACAAGCCTACTGTTTTCTGCATCGGGCTATTTTTCACCTAGCAGAAGATGCTTCCAAATATGACCCATATTCTAGATGTTACTACTGTCTATAAAAGGCAAAATCATACAAATCAAAATCTTAAGGTTAAGAATGTATTGAAGTGCAGAATTGCCTGGAAAAACACACCAAAACAACACTTTTCTCTTGTTTAGAGATAGGCAGTTTTTGTTACTGTATCAAAATGCTGTTGATACAGACAAAATGCCTACGTGCTGTTGGTGAACACAGACAATAGAAGCAGTAACTGACTTAATGAATATTTATTGACTGTGATGAAATGGGAAAGAAGTACCAGCATTTCAGCAAGCACCAGAGCCATTATAGCCATTATCCCTGCATTAAAAACATGCATGGTAATTAACTTACATATCATTGCTTTTATCCCAGAAACTAATTACTGTGCTCAGACAGATAGACGTTATAAATAAAAATGAGAAAAATCTCTGGGGAAAAATGTACTTGACTCCTGGAACATTGCATGGTTATGAATGGCCACTCCAAACTTCAGTCTGTCACAGCTTGTGATTCAAAATGCTGCACTTTCCTCTTACTGAAAACAGTAACGTTGCTAATGGTATTAAAGGAAAGCTGCTTGGGTTGTTTTCTTGCAGGAAGGAGAGAGGATGCTGGGATCTGGCCATTACGCCCATGATCAGATCAGCCCCAGACTGCAGGACCTGCAGGGCAGCTGGGAACAACTCCTGAGCAACTGCAAGGAGAAGAGGTCTCGGCTGCAGGAGGCCTATGAGGTACTCACACAGTACAACACAGGAACAACACCTGAACTGAGGAATGGAATTTATCCCCCTGACCTTATCCCCCACCTCTCTCTCAGAGCTCAGGTTGTTCCATGACAGCAGTGTTACCACCTCCCAGCCTCAGACTCTAGAATCTGAGCAAGCCTGGGCCTGGTCAGTGCTGGGAGAACACTTAAGGAAAACCAGTTGCTGCTTTAAGTGGTGTTGATGGGCCAGCACATGGCTCTCTTTCCCCTGAACCAGAGTCTCCCATGTAATGTCCCAGTATTGTGACTGGGGAAGCCATGCGGTTGGTAGTACCATCCTTCCAATAAATCACTAAATCATGGTCCTGACTATCTGGTCATTAAAAATCCCAGTTAATGCTTTTCTCCAAACTAACAATATTTACCTGGGGGTCATGGTAAATTTAAACTCTGGGCTTGTACTATCAGGCCTTCCTTAATTTCAGTTTGTCACTTTTCCACCTGAAGTGCTGTGGAAGGGCTGTTGGCACACAATGACTGCTGCCCTTCATCCATTTGGTGCTGCACTTCAGCAGCAAATGAAGTATGGTGTTGGTGTGAAACGTGGGATCCTTTGAGATGAAATGCACTATATAAATGCAATGTGTTATTAGTCATAGAAGTAGCTCCAGCCTGTGACATAGCACTAGAAGACGATGACGTCAGTGATCATCCAAGGCAGAAGTCTTCACATTGTGGGATGTGTCCTCTTGGGTGAATGTGGAGTAAGAGTTGGGGGATCACGAAGTGAAGCTGTTGCTGAGTTTTTAAAATTACCAACACCCTGAAATTGAGAGAGTGATCACATTGACATGTTAAGCGATAAATGAGCTACTGTCTGTAAAAGGAGTGTGTACATTGTATTTAATTGGAACCCCACACTGTTTCTGTGGAAACTACGCTTGCTGTCTTCCAGTTTAGAACCTCATGTCCTTCTGTGACCATGAGCATGCTGTACCGTGGTTGAGTCTGATATTTAATTTACTGTTTAAGAAGTACTGCCTAGTGTTGTGTAGTTGTTATTCTTGGCAGCTTTCTGCTCCTGGCTTGACCGGCTCTGCAGCTCTGTGGATCTTGCAGTGTGTGTCGTGAGCGCGTGAGCGCGTTGGAGTTGCCTGTCTGCAGGTTCTTACTCGACCCCTGGAGCTCTAAGCTGAGCCATAGCCAGTTTCAAAATGGGTTGGCTGTTGCGCAAAAAGTCACTGGGGATTGTGCTCATGGAGGCAGCGCATATAAGGGATTTCTGCAGTGGCACCTACAAAGCGTTGGGGAACCGATGCATCTATTTTGGGTTGACTCGCTCCACTGAGACAGAAACTTGGTTCGTTCTCCCTGACCTCAGGCGCTGCAGTTCCAGCGCTCCCTGGAAGATGTGGAGGACTGGCTGGCCTCTGTGGAGTCCGAGCTGTTGAACACAGACAACGGGTGTGACCTGCCCGCGGTCTCGCGGCTCCTGAAAGCCCTGCAGGGGCTGGAGGAGGGAGTGGAGGGCCACGTGGAGAGGATCCAGGGGCTGGTGGATGCAGCCAAAGATTTTCGTGCCAAGGGCAACTTCCTGGCCGAGGAGATCCAGAGGAGAGTGGGGGAGACCGTGTACCGGTACAGTAACAGAGCCTATGTAGAGTGGGGTTACCGAGGGGTTCTCAATCTCTTCTAACTGGGGGTCCACCCTTCAGGGCAGTAAACCCAATCTGATCTGATGATGAAATAAAAACACACGATTGACCGTTTTTAAAATTATGAATCATAAGGAATGCAGAGTGGTAGGAAATGCAGAGTGGTAGGAAAACAGATTCTCACTGAACATTCCCATGCACGACAACCAAGCCGATTACGAAATCATGCCACTAGTTGTCTTTGGCCAAAGAGCCAAGTTTCTGTTGCCAGCCCCAAAGATGTCTGGACCCCAGCTGGGGATAATTGACATATAACATCATATGGCTTAAATCTCTTTATACGTGTGGGATGTAGAAGCCTTCTGCAGCATAGCAATGGTGCTGTCTGTGTCTGTGAGTGCGCCACCTGTCTGTGACTGCAGATATAACAGCCTGGCTGAGCCCCTTCAGGCCCGCAGGGAGACCCTGGAGGCGTGGCAGCTCCTCTTCCAGCTGTACCGGGACATGGAGGAGGAGCTGGTCTGGGTGAGAGACAAGCTGCCCTCTGCCTACTCCCAGGACTGGGGCAGCTCGCTACACGGCACCCAGACGCTGCTCAAGAAACACCAGGTGAGTGACAGTTGGCGGGGGGGGGGGGGTGGTGTTGGTATCTGGGGATTAGCCTAAAAAAAGTACAGTACAGGGAAATATGACAAATTAATAAACGTGTGGTAAACAATGCATGATTCACAGGTTATTGGGAAAATGGGCCTGACGCTCTCGAGGTTGTCTAAATACATTCGGGTGCTATGAACTGTCCTAATGGTTTTGAAAATGCTGCTTCTGTCAGCTACAGTCCATAACTAGAGGGCAACAATCTTTAGGGCTTGGAATTCGGTTATTCCTTTGACTTTCCTTGAACTCCTGCTGCACTGCTCTCTGCTTGTGGCTCCTCTGCGTGCTCCCTCACCCACCCCCCCTATCTGTGCAGACGCTGCAGGAGGAGATAGCCAGCAGGGACCCCCTGGTGCGTGCGGTGCTGGAGGCCGGGAACACAATGGTGAAGGCCAGACACTTTGCCTCCAAGGAGATCCGCGAGAGGCTGGCAGAGCTGAAGGAGGCCGTGGAGAGCCTCAGAAGGGAGGCAGAGCACAGGGGCAGGGGGCTGCAGGAGGCTCTGGAAATCCAAGTATTCCTTGCTGAGGTAACTGGTCATTGAACTGGCCACATATCTCTACTCACAATCCCAACGCTCCCACCACAGGCAAGTACAGACTGCAGGAGCCGATGACATTGTTGATATTTATGGACTACATGGAAATCCTCGGTATTAAGTGCACACAGCTTTCTATTGTATTTTGGGTTTTCCCCTGTTACACACCTATCGGATTCATTTTTCTGACGGGAGTCTTCTGTTGTCATCACAGCAAGCGTGTCTTCCCTCCCATTCTGTGTCCTGTCCTCCCAGCTGTCGGAATTAGGATCGTGGATGGAGGAACGGCGCCCGGCGCTGGAGTGCTCGGATTATGGGAAGAGCGAGGAATCGACCCAAGCTCTGCTCCGCAAACTTGATTCTGTGGATCTGGATCTGGAAAGCCAACGGCCCAAACTGGAGTCCCTGCAGGAGACTGGAGCCAAATTGGAGCGCTATGGGCATCCCAATAGGTACTATAACACCCCCAGGGCCGTCCCTCTGCAGTGCAGAATTACGGATTTGATCTTACTAAGTATCTAATGTCTGGGATGTGGGAGTGAGGAACAACCTACACACGCACGTTGTTGAAACCCATATTCTGATTTCTTTCAAGAAATGTTTGGGTGGGAATCTTGGATCAATTGACTACTAATTACTGAATGGCTTCCTCTCTTTTTTGTTACTTTTTCTATTCTCTAATATTCTTCTGTAGTTAAAATACTAGGGGAAAATCATCACTATGCGACTTTTATACCTCTAGACAAAAAAGAAGGACTTTCTACAGTATATCACGTACAGCTTGATTGAAGATGATTTTGCAAAGAAAAAAATGAGTTGCTTTTCAGCCCACAGCACAGTAGATGGCAGCAGTGTTTTCTGGAACCACCTGGTAATATGTTGGCCAGTGTTTAGGATTTTTGGATGAGAATCAGAATACTTTACATGTCAGATCTTTAAAATATAGATATGGTTTTACTCTCTTTATTCATTGAGCAATATTGACATGAAGTCCATTACCTAGTCATCAACAACATGGGGCAAAAACATTAGGTTTTTCTTCCTGCGTGAGAACTACCTTGAATGTAAAGTTAGCTTGAATTTAAGCCACAGACTAGGCTTCTACTGTTTCTTCCATAAACTTCCAGAGATATTACAAAATGTCTGAGGGGACATCATTCAGGCAGAAATCATCTTTGCAGGTCTGTGGTACCAAAAGGTTAATGCCGTCACTCTACAGATACTCTCTGTTTTTTTCTGTATATTCCAAAGCAACTGGGTTGATCAAGATCAATCCAGCACCAATAAGTAAAAGCTGTCTGATTCTTGCTCTCTGCTCCTGTCTCTCCAGCCATCTGGTGAATGAGAGCCTGCAGCCCGTATGGGACCAGTACCAGAGTCTGCAGCAGCTGTCCGCAGAGCGCCGAGCGGCACTGGAGGAGCATTGCCGGGTCTATGAGTTTGAGAGGGAGGCCCGAGAGCTAGCCAGCTGGCTCAGTGCACAGAGAAGCACAGCAGAGTCTGAGGAGTACGGCCAGGACCTGGAGGATGTGGAGGTGCTTCACTCATAGTATAAACGCTCACTGTGCAGCGACTCAAAATCAGTTTGAAGCAGGAGGCCTCCAGCCAGTACACTTGTCGGTGGCAGTGGCAGTGTTCATGTTTATGTTCTTTCCGTGGCCTAGAAGTGGTCATGAAGGAGGAGGTCTTATTGTAACTAATGAGTAAAATCAGCTGGCCAAGCTTCAGTCCAGCTTGTTCTCTTGCACTCTTATTGCTCTCCCTGAAAGTTACTTTTGATGGGAAAAAAAGCAATAGTATTCCCCTGTGACAGACCGAAGCAGGATGAAATCCAGGAAAATGTGTTCTCTGTAGAAATCACCTCTTCTGTCTTTGTCAGGTGCTGCAGAAGAAGTTTGAAGATTTCTCCTCAGAGGTGAGCACACTGGGTCACAGCAGAGTGAGGTCCGTTCTGCAGCTGGGGCAGAAGGTGAGGTCACCTGAGTGCCAGGAGAGAGAGGCGGAGCTCTGCAAGCTGTGGGAGGAGCTGCTGCAGACCATAGAGGCAAGAGCTGAGGTAAGGACACCAGGAGCAGTGAGTGGCATCTAGTTTTGTTTTGGAACACAACTACAGTATGTTGTTGATCTGCGGATAATGCTTGGGTTTACAGCATTCAGGATACATGAATGACTTAATATGGACAGAAGGTAGTTCAAACTGGTAATCAAACTTAGTTTTATATCTTAAGTGATACATATACACCCCATATCTTGAAAGTCATCAAAATCCCGTATTACAATTCACTCTGATACTCTAGCTTTTAAGAATGTACAATGTGCCATTTTAACATGTACCTATGTATACAGTAGCTATATCTACTGTATACTGTATATACCTATTTTATTTGGTTATGTTGTTGTACAGAGCCTTGATGTGATAGGCCATGAAATACACTATACAAAATAATGGTTATTATTAATAAGGATTGATTTGGATTAATCTCCCCTGTTCTTTGATCATGGAAATATTTCTCTGAATCAAAGAAACTGACTTCGGGTTGATGCTTCCATACACGTTAAATGCGCTGCCTTTTGAGACGCTGTGGGTCCAGCTGTGGACTGGAGAGCGCCCCTCTGGGGGTGTTCCGCCTCAGGAGCTCTGGTCCTGAACGACTGGGCCAGAGCCGAGGTGACAGTGCCCGGTTTCCCGGACAGAACCTGAGGTCTGCACGCGAGGTGCACCAGTTCGACCACGACGTGGATGAGCTGAAGGGCTGGATGAGCGAGAAGGAGGCCGGGCTGAGCGCCGAGGACCACGGCCACGACCTGCTGGGCGTGCAGGCCCTGCTGCGGCAACACGACGGCCTGGAGGTACGCCTGCCCGCTGGCCAGCGGCGCCTGGAGACACAGGGGAAAACTCAGGGCCGACAGGGGGGGATGTGTTTTGACGCCAGGCAAAAATGGACGGCGTGAGGTGCAAAACTGCGCCCTAGGCCGGGAAAAAAGAGAGAGACGAGTTTATTTGCCTTTTGTACATGTACGTTGGGATTCGTATTGACGCTGTTCCCTCAGGACGTACACAGTACAAAAGAACACTTTCACACGATGTAAACAGTACATTACAACACACTAAATAATAATAATAATACATAAAGACAGTACAATGAAGCAAAAAAACATACCCCAATCAATAAAGGACAATAAATACACAGGAAAATAAATATGTGGTAATCAAGTTTAAAGTGCAGAGTGCAGAGGTTAGGTGAGTTCTGAGGCATGGGACTGTTAATGATGTACATGTAAGAAGGGCACAAAATATTCAGAGAAACCTGCAGCTGCAGGATGGGTGAAACAATTCCAGTTCAATGGATCTGACTCTGCAAAAGGCACTGACTCTTGAACTGTTTGCTGGGGGAATTTCCTCATTAGAGCGAATTTGCAGAGCCCGCCTTTCTTGTGGAGAGCTCTGGAGGTGTGTCCTAGCGGAGGGAGACTCATGCATATGACTCTAGATTCAATCTTGTGTGTTGTGTGATGCAAGAAATATTGATGAGGGTTGCTTGTTAATATAGGCTGAGCAATTTGTGTCACCCCCCCGACATTGTCAACTCCTCCAAACTCAACAGACTGTCTTAAAGAATTAGACTTTAGATCTAGAACAGGTTCAGAGGCCTACTGAACAAGTGCAGGGTCAGGAGGAATAATGAGCGTTTGGTGACTGAGTGTCTGAAGCTGAGGACACGAGGTACGGTTAGTAACTCCCAGGGTGCTGTTGCAGAGGGACCTCGCCGCTATCGGGGAGGAAGTGTCCCGGACGAGAGAGAAGGGGGCTGTGCTGGGCCACAGGTATCCTCAGGTGAGGGACAGCTTGGAGGAGAGGCTGGAGGAGGTGGAAGAGGCCTGGCAGAGCCTGCAGAGGAAAGCCAGCGTGCGGAGAGAGAGACTGGGCCAAGCCGAGACTGCGCAGAGATACTTCATTGACTGGAGGGAGCTAGTGTAAGTCTTCTTGGGTTTGCACACAACAAAAAATCGGGGTTCATACAGTTACAGCTGTCTTTGGGGCTGTCCATACTGTATAGGCTGGTTTCCTGGTAATTTAACATCATATAAATAAATGTTATATATATATATTTGGACCTTTGTTCCTCTACAAGAAACAAGTCTACTTGCACCTTTTACTATTAAGCTCTTGGATTAAAAATGTACAGTTTTTAAAGAGAAAAGGGATTGTTGAGTACTTGATGAGTACTAAAGCAACACAGTTTGCCTCAATGTGAGGTTAAGAATAATTAGATATCAGTTTTTACTCCTTAATTAAACATTAGTTGCCGGATGCTTTATTGAATATATTTGCTTTTTGAGATCGATGCCGGCCGAGTCTGTGTCTCAGGAGCTCTTGTGTTGCTGTGCAGAGCCTGGCTGAAGGAGAGCCTGTCGCTGGTGCAGGGGGAGGGGCTTAGCGGGGAAGGCGGGGACGTCGAGCAGCACCTGAAGAGACACGAGGAGCACCACCGCGAGATTGACAGGCAGCTTGACAAATCACAGGCCGTGAAGGAGGAAGGACGCCGCCTCATCGAAAGTGGGAACTTCATGAGTGAGGAGGTAACACCGAACTAGAATTACTGCCTAAGGAGAAAACAAAAAAGACTCCTCGATGCAGAGGATACCAAGACTCCCTTGGCGATCAGTTACAATATGGAATGATAATGAATATGCTTTAGAAGAGTACACCATGATATAAAGCCCAGATAAGCCAGCTGGGTAGAGCATCCTTATTTTATGTGACTACCTCTGGTTCTTTGCAACCAGGGCTTGAATTGATAGGGAAATGGGGGAAAACTCTCCCCTTATTTTCTTCTTTGTTGCTAGTGCCCTGTCTGAAAAAACAGTTCCATTCAGAGATTGGTCTCTCCGGAGCAGAGGGGCCGAGCGCTGCTTCGATCACCCTCGCACTGTGATACAGTGAGGAGGAGGAGGCCCAGCTCCTCCTGGTACAGGCACTGAGAGTGGGCTCCCTCTCCCCTGCCCTGTCCTGCAGGTGGAGGAGAAGCTGGCGGAGCTGGAGGAGCTGGAGGAGAGGCTGGGGCAGGGCCGGAGGGAGCGGCAGAGGCTGTACGACGAGGAGCTGGAGGTGGAGCAGCTGCGCCGGGGGCTGGAGCAGGCCGAGCGGTGGCTGAACGCCCACGAGGCCGCGCTGAGCGCCGACGTCTACGGGGTGAGCTGGGGCCCGGGCCGCTCTGGCGCTGGACAGCGAGAGAACCGGAGGCATAATTACACGAGCTGCACTTTTATTTTATCCCATAGGCTGGGAAACATCAATGAAACATGTCATAGTCTTATATAGCTGCATTTGTGCATAGGTCAGTGTTATTTTTCTAATTCCTTGTACAGTTACATGACCCTTGAATTAAAACTTAAATCATTAGAACTAAAAACTACATTTACGGTGTATTGATTCTGCTGAAGTCTGCTGGGTCATTAACTTGGCCAGTGCCTTTGAGGATCTTGAATACTGGAATCACACAAACAACCCTTGATAGTCTTTTGCTTCAGAGGGATGTTTCTCTTCACAGGACTCGGTGCCTGACGTCCTGGAGCTGATGAAGAGACAGGAGGACCTGGAGACCATGCTGACTGCGCAGGAGGAGAGATTCAAGCAGTTAGAGGAGAAGAGGACCAAGGTGAGAACTGTGAGGGGTGCAGTTCTGTGAGACAGAAGTACAGAGAGTGATGTGCACAAAAGCAAGACTACACGAAATCTTCCGTTTCCCATCTTTAAACTATCAGCAGAATTCAGAATATGCAGTATATTAGTGCATTTAAAGGTCTATTCCATGCTGAAAAGAGAACAAAAGAAAAAACACGTTTCAGCTGTGGAGCCTTCTTCAGGTGTCAGGTGTCTTCTTCACACCGGAAGAAGGCTCCACAGCCGAAATGTTGTATTTCCTTTCTTCTCTTTTCAGCATGGAATAAACCTATTACTTGTTTATTTGCAGCCCACGCATGCTGACACAGCTCCCAACCTGAACTATTAGTGCATTTTATTAGTAATTATAGAGAACTGCTCGAAAATGTCACTAATAATGTGCAACAGTGTGGAGTCGTGATCAGGGTTCCTGGCTCATTACTGGAATCTTTTGGGTTCATATCCCAGCTGAGACATTGCTGTTGTACCCTTGACAAGGCAAGGTCTTTGCTTCGATTGCTCTACAAAATGCCGTGTTGTCATAATGGGTAATTTTCTATGTTGTCATTGTAAGCAACAGTTTATCCTTTTGTTTGTCTGGTCAAATATTCCAATTAAAAAAAATAGTTATGTTTTATCCTTAAATGCTCTTGATGCAATGGTTCTTAATAATATAGTGTTTCTGAGTCGGTGCTCAGTAGACATTTGTTGGGAAAATGTAAATGAACACTAACCTGCAGTTTGCTTATTGACAAAATATTGTAATTGTAAGCTTGTTGTGTGGCCCCCCATGCTTTTCCACAGAAGGAGCAGAGGCTGCAGCAGCTCCAGGGCCAGGAGGGCGAGGGTTCGAAGCCCACCAGGGTCACCTCTCTGCGGAGGAAGCTGTCGGACCGACGCCCTGCAGGACCCACCAAGTCTCCCACGCCCAAGCTGCCCTCTCTGCCGCCTCCCCGCAGTCAGCCCCCGAGATCCAGCCACACAGACACCGTCGTGTCTCCCGTCCGGCGCTCCCTGAGGTCTCCCGCGGAGGCCACCCCCCCCTCTCCCCACCCCAGGCCGCTGGGGCTCCACGCTGTGAAAGACCCCTCCCCGACCTCCCCTCAAAAACCCCCTCTCCCTCCCAAACCGGCGGTGCCGCAGTCCCCCGTTTCCCCGCCAGCAAATCCCGGAACCCCCACCTCTCCCGTGCATGTCCTCGCTCGCTCGTTCTCCTCCCCGCCCCCAGCGCCCGGACTGCCGTCTCATCCCGGTGCCACGCGACGCTCTGCCCTGCCATCCACGGCAGGCCTCGGCCCTCCTCCGCCCCATTCTCCCTCTCCGGGAGGCGGACCCCCAGAATCCCCTTCCCCGGCTCCGCCTCCGCTGCCTCGTCGCCCCAGGGCTCTGGACGGAGGAGGAGAGGAGCCACCCAAAGTCAAGGCTCCGCAATCAGAGGTGAGAGTGAGAGACGGCCTTCATGCGTCACTTGGGCGGCTCTTGTGTAGCGAGAGCACATCTGAGGCCCAAAATCAGAATTGCCTTTCGGTTTGTAATGGTAGCACTTATGAGCCACATAAACTGCAGTGAAATGCCCTTTAAATGTTAGAGGGGTTGTGATTTATTTTCAAGGAGAGGAGGGTCGACTGCGTCCTTTAAAACACGTTAATGTTTCACTACTTACAGCAGGACAGTGACATTGCCCAGCTGGAGGGACCCCTGGAGGTCAAACAGAAACTTCTTGCTGATGGGAATAAGGTAAGAGCTGCAGAGGTGGAAAAAAGAGCCAAGTCTCTCTTGTATATGTTCTCTGTCTCCAGGTGAATTAAAAATGCTAAATTCCGATCATAAGAACACAGGCATTGAACTTATCAAATAACCAATCAGTGCTTTGCAGGAGCTATTAGAACAATGTTGAAAAAAAAAACAGTGAAGTGCACATATGATTAGAAGAAGAAATATAATTCCTTTGTGCCATGAGTGAAAGTTGGTACCCAATATGAAATACACTACATTTACAGTGAGCAGTTACGAATGTCTTGTTCATCAGCTGATGCTCTTGTGTTCACAGACCTCTGCTCTTCCATGGGGCTTTTTCTACACTGTCCTGGACACAGACACCCTGATCTTGTACAGAGACCTGGAAGAAGCGACCACGGTAAGGCTCAGAACGACAGGCTGAACAGCTCTCATTTTGCAGCCGGTTGCAGAAGGTGTTTGGGTTCCAGTATTTCAGCCGTTTTCATTAAGCTTGTTCTTCTGGTTTCAGGAGTCTTCGAGCTTGCCTCCTATTTGCACTGTGGGAGCAGTTTGTGATGTTATTCCAAACCACAAGAAGAAGGACTATGTCTTCAGACTGACGTGAGTCGAATAATTTAAGGCATAATAAAAATAAAGCATGCCATACAGTAGAATCTGATCTCATTTCTCTAGAATGCACATTTTACTCACCTAATTGGTTACACAAGATTTTAAATTCTTACAACTCTTATATTGCTCATCAACAGTGAATATTAACAATTTACATTGAGGGTACCTTGAAATACATTATTTTGATCACGGAAGGCTTCCTGCTCGATTTATAGAAAAAAAGCACAGTATAATTAACCACAAAGTTCCATTAAAATCATATGTATAACAAACTCCTTGTTTCTTTTACGTACATTGTGACATCTTACCCCACATAGTTCTTCAATGAATAAAAGTGTGCTTTCCGAGCATTAAAGATATTTAAATATTCTTCATATTTTGTTACCTATAGTTAGACTTTTTGTACCATTTTACTGGATGTCTGTGTCTTAAGACCTTTACTAATATTTAAAATAGCACCCATTGCCCTCAAATTACATCCATACCCTGGACCCAGTAGTATGAGCATGTGACTATTTTATGTTTGTTGTCTTGGCTCTCAGCTCTGAACCCTGCAACCACACACAGGGGAGTGATGATCACATTTAGGCAGACTCCTCTGCCCCACCCACCCATAAACGTCACTGGCTATGCAGCCCCAAGTGGGGGTTTAGTGTTGATTGTTGGAGAGGTGTGTCTCTGCACAACGATGCCGCAGGGGTCACGCCACACCAGTAACACCAGGGGTCAAGAGCCTGGGCAAACTAATCCTATCCTACTCTGAGTACACTAGCACTCCATAAGTAGAGCTCTGCTGGTTGGAGAGTCCTGGTTGCAGTCGACTCCTGATGTGTTCCAGGTTAAACTGCCTTAGTCAATGAGCCCTGTCTGCACTTTAGAAAGCACCCTAGCAAACTGAACCAATTGGGAGCCCCAGTAAGATTAATTTTGTGATAGGACTCCCTGTCTACCAGATTTTAATAAACCTGGGATCAACTAGGCATTTCAGAGCTCAGGTGCAATAGAAAGAAGATTGCCTTTTAGGCAGAGCTGTGTATTCTTCTTAAGAAAGCTTGTCGTGTCCTCGTCCTCCAGGCTGAGTGACAGCAGTCAGTACCTCTTCTCAGCTCCCAGCCAGGAGGTGCTGCAGTGCTGGGTCGAGAGACTGCAGCGGAGTGCCAACCCTGAGGCCGGTCCTATTACCTACAGCTCCCACGGCAATGTCAATGGATCACAGTCGCCCACATCGCCTACTGGCCTGACACTGCACAGGTGAGGAGTTGGTTCACGTGCTCTGTAGGGCTGGGCTCAAGTACCAGCTTTGATGTATAACTATGCAACGACCAAAGGATAAAAATAAACCAGCTCAAAGCCAATTTGTGTTTAATGAGAAAGTTATTAGTGATTCATTAGTGATTCATTGTTACAGTGATTACAGGGCCTATTGAGAACCTGCACGTCTAAATGAATTTCTGAACATCTAATGTATTACATGAGGAGTCAGATTATAGCAGGCTGCTGTAAGAGGGAGACATCTTTGATTTGGTTTTGCTTCCGCACTAAAGTTTAAACATTTCAGAGTGAGTTGCTACTATTTTATGCATTGCTTTATTGTTTGCATTTGTAGAATTTACACATGCTGTATTTTCATATGAAAACAGTTGTCCACAGTCCTGATCTAGTGTTGATCCATATACTGTATATTAATTTGGGTGGGTAGCTGTAATAAACCTATTACTTGTTCCTTTATTGTATATTAAATTCTCTTTTGAAAAATGGTAGAGTGATATTTTACCCAGTTGTGGTTTTCACATATTTGTTTGAAGTACTTAAATGGCTGCAGTTTAAGGCTTGCTTGAAACCTATCTGCATCTATATAATCTATATAAAAATAAACATTACTGAGCAAAATGAGGGTACAGTATAAACAGGTAATGTGAGTTGTTCTGTTCAGAGGCAGTGTTATCATCTATTCCACTGCTTTTAAGAGATAAGGGAAAAGGAGAATTTTCCCAGGTTGAATTCCTCATAGTGGAATTGTGGGAAAAGATGAAAATTATTATTTGTTTTTACAACCAGGCTGCATGTTTCTTTCTGAACCAGCAAACCTAGGATAAAAAAATTAACCAGACATGGTTGATGGCAGGAATGTTAGCAACATTCAAAACAGGATTGTTTCTCCATTTAAAGTGTTTGTTTAAAAAACAACAACAGTTGCCTCACGCCACATGCAAAGGGAGATGAAAAGTGCTGATCCAGAGAGTTTGAGAAACACAAGCCCCAGGTTGGAAAGGCTTGTTTCTTGTAGAATGCTAAAGCATAACTCGTCTGACAACACTGCGGTATGACCTCAAGTCTTTGCACACAATGCAAACTCAGAGATGTGTATCGCCGTTTCTCCTGTTTGTACTTGTTGAGAGCGCCGGCCGCCCCGGCGGCCTCATGCCTGAGCTCTCTTGCGCCCCCTGCAGGGCTCCCCTCCCGCGTCCCCGCCCTGCGGCAGGAGAGCGTGCCTCCAGGGGACCAGGCCCCGGCGCTGCTGCAGAGAGACCCAGCAGCAGCAAGGACATCCTGCCCCGGTATGACTGCCTTGCCCTCCACAGGGCTCTCTGACGTGCGTTTTCCAGCGTGCCTTTGCCTCTTATGTCACTTCCAAGCTATTCGTTCCAGCAAGGGAAATCATGGATGCTCACCTGACCTGATGCTGAGTATTGTCTTTATCCTGCAGAGGGAAGTTTAAGTCATTCAAACAGTTTAGAAGTATACCAGATAATAAGTGCATATCAGCACAAAGAGCTTTGAAAGACTGGCATACCTGTACCAGAAGATAAGGGAGAGGAAGAGAGCCATTGCACTAGTCTATGTTATTGCTGATTTTGATGTTAAATGCCCTGCATTGTTATTTTATGTTTCCAGAACCATTTTTTCAGATAATATATGTATACATCCCACGTTACTTTTACAGTAATGTAATTTCTACATGTATGTCTGGCCTGATAGGAGAACCCCGTCTTTTAAAATGAAGCAGCTGGCCGAGCCCTCAGACCCTCCTGCTGGCGGGCAGCCAGACTCAGAGACTGGCACCACAACCCCAACACCGGAGACGGCGTCTGCTGAAACCCCCCCGTTCCAGGAGCCTCTGGGCACAGGTAGGCTCAGTGCTGGCACCAGGAATCCACGGCTGGAAATTCAGCAAATGCCCCACGAGACTGACAGACCTCACAGCTCTCAAAACATCCTGAATCGGTAGACCAGGAGACTTGCTGAAGTTGTTCCAGCGGCATCTTGGCTCAGATAGTTGGTCCAAATTACACTGAATAAAATTAACTGGTGAGAATACCCTGATCGGTTTGATTTCGTAAACCCTCAGCATTTTCAGGAGAGGAGGATGCTGTTACTGAATGGGATATTCCTCGTCAGAGCCTCCTTCGTTTTGGATGGGAAGAACGAAAGCAAGTTATTTGAGCTTGCGGGATGGAATCCCTTTAACCTCAGACGTTTTGTTGCAGATGTAGGTAATGAAGATCTCATCCTCGCTGAGTCTGTGGAGGGACCCACAAAGAGGAGAGCTCCCAGTCCCCCGCTTTCCAGAGCAGGTCAGCCTCTGCCCGGTGTGCCTTCAACAGGCCCAGAGCCCACCTGTCTCCTTCAGCCACTCTGGGGTCAGAGGTTAGGTGCTGTACTGGGGACTGCAGCATTTCCCTGGAGTAGGGTGTAACACGGGCTACTTTATGACAGGAGCAGTAGCTTAGCTACAGTGAACGGGTCCTGTAAAGTCTAGGAGAAGTGGGTTTGTTCCTGCCTGGCGATTAAAACAAGTTAATTGCAAAGAGCTCTTTCTGCAAGGTGAAAAACATTAGCACCACTATCCCCACACCTCATCGCAGAGCATGCCCTTAGAGCACCCCTAAGTCATGAGTGGCTAAAAAGATGAAAAATATCTTGAAAACTATGAAGAACCGTACATATCATGAGGTGAAAAAAAATAACTATAAATCTCCTAATAATCGATAGAGCTGATGGTAATCAATTTGATTCTGGCGCAGGAGAAGAGAAGGGATCCAGTGACGGTGCCGAAGTTGCCGTGGGGACGGAACCTCCCCCCAAGCCCCCCCATACCTACTACAACGTGCACCACTACCCCGCGGGAGGGGAGCTGAAGGGCTTTCCGGACAGAGCGCACAGCCTTTCAGGTACCCGGCGCCATTCTGCACTGACACCTTCCTGTACATTGCATGGCTGCCCTTGTGAACACCAAGTCAGGAGGCCCTCCAGGCGGCTCCTCCCAGAGCTCCGCCCAAGCCACGTCTGACAGTGTGTGTGTGTGTCTCCATCGCAGAGCGCCAACCCCAGTCCTCTGCGACTCCTGCACAGAGGAGCCTTTCCTGCAACACGGCGGAGGGCGGCACCAAGGAGAAGCAAAAGAAAGAGAAGAATGTCTTCAGAAAGCTCTTCAAGAAGTGACTGCTCACCTTGAGGGCGCAGGGGCCACTGACGGACAGCCCCACGGGAATCTGGACCAACGCAAAATTTTCAGCACCTGACGGACGAATCGCTGCAAAGTACGAAAGGCCCTTGGATTGGCCGTGACTGTTCGTGTTCACTCAATGCCATTTCCTCTTAGTCCCTTGCACTCCCTGCAAATTTCAAATTCGTAGCAAATTCGCGATTTGGACAAACGTGTGAGGATAAAGGGTTAGGGCCAGCGATGCAAGAAATGTCTTGGGCAGTTTGTCACTGTGTGCTGAGTATCCACCTGCCGCGTAAAAGGAAGTGAAATCCTTGATGCCTGGGAAATTGTTCTTCCAAACCATGGCAAAGCAATCAGCACGTCTCGATTCAGATTTCTGTCTTTAAAGTACACCACTCTATAACAAATTGGACTCGTATAACATTGACAATATAATAGTAGCTGGCAAGAATAACCCTATCGCAAGATGGGCTGTGTAATGTTTGACCTCAAAGTGTAACAGTGGCTCGCCACTTGTAAAGCTGCATACTGTATAGGTTAACTAATTATAAAGGAATGTTCACATTTCTTTTGCATACCTTGAGGCGAGAATATAACAAGCATTCTTCAACTGACAACATTACTGTACATAAATTGCATTTGGGAAGAAAACTGTAAACCTTGAGGCTATGATGGAAGCCAAATCGTTTAATATCGGGTTTAGAAGAGGAAAGCATGACTCTGATTTAAATCTAGATTTCTTAGGTACTGAAGCCTTTAAACACCACTTTGTTTTATACTTCACTTTACCAAACCTGTAAATATAGAGAAATTACAAAAATCTACTAGATACAAAGGATAATTCAAATGCTTAAAATGTCTGGTTTTCTTTTATGTTTAATAAACAAGGTGGACGGTGGATTTCGATTAATCAAAATATGAATCTAATACATGATTGCAGAACATTGATTTCATGTCCCTTCCAGAAGAAATCTAAAACCATTATACCGACTCCAGTTACAATATGTGAAACATCCTGGTTATGAACCTAGAACTGTGCAGTACATATCACAATTTTAAGTGTGATCAAATTTATATAATTGTTAAAATCTCACCCTACTGCATATTCAGTTTTATAAGCACATACTTCAAAAGTTCAGAGCAGTTATTCATAAAAATTAGGATTTTAAACGAAATGTGCATTTATATCTCCAAGTATTTTTGAGGGACACCAATTTCTTACTGCACCCGTTACAGACAGTTGTGATCAATTTGCATGTTTCAAGATCTTCTAATGACTTAAATTGACTCCTTCACAGTCATAGGAACTACTTACTCAGTCAAGAGCAGCTTCATATTCTCAAAGGGTGGTTAATCAGCTGCCTTTCTTTTGTGAAAAAAATCAATTGATATCTTATAAAACATCAGCAGACAATTGATTTAGGAATATTACTACATTGGTGAAGAAATATATAAAGTTTTTTTTAAAAAGACATTCCTCGGTTCAGATGATCTTCTCCTAAATATAGGAATACATTCAAACAGTGTGAGAAAGAGAGTCAAAAACAGTCCTTAGTCCCAGTCATGGGTTTCCAAACCACATGTGAGAGTTCAACACTACGTTTGGTAATAATGAGGTAACATTTTTCTCAAGGAAGATCCCAGCGATGTGGTGAAAACTGCTGACCTTAATCACAAGCCAGACTGATTCCTTTGGCTAGAGACTAGGATGCCGCCTTTGCGAGTCTCTTCCTGGCCAGCGCCTGCCGCAGTGCCCCGAGGACGGCCTCCTTGCTGTGGACAACATTGTAAGCCGCGAGGGCCACGAGCCGCTCGAACTCTTCAGCGCTGTAACTCATGTCGTACGTCCTGTATGGCGAGGCTGTGCTGGTGACGTCGACCTCCCCCTTCTTCAGCTCTTCCTCCCCGACACGCTTCACACCTTCAAAAAGAGGAGACCAATGTCCATTTGCTGTAAGGAGTCAGTACCAGGTTAGCTGGCTGAGGCAATGCTTGCCCTTGGCTTACTGTGATGTCAGGTCACATCATTAACCTTTTTTCCATGCGTTTTTCCATTTGTCGTGGTTCAACACCATGTTGTGAACATCATGTTGCGACTCTCTGCTATCTTTCTCCAAGGTCTTATGTCAGTCCCCTTCAGGGATTAATGAGCAGACCACTTCCTTCTCCAGACCTTCCCCTTTTCTCCTCTCTCAGAACTCTTAACCTTTCACTCTGTCCTCCCCTGTCCTTGCGAGAGTTTACTTCTTGAGGCCTACACTTTAACTCTTGGTCAATGTTTTCCACTCCATGCGGCTGGCTGCATGTCTGTTTGCAACGGTTATGACTGCACAGTGTAATCTTCTCGGAACTCTCTCTGTGCTGCTCCCTCTTAACTGAGGACTGGGAACTCAAACAAAGCCACTACTCGGCTCATCTGTCCAGCGCCTGTGGTTGCAGTCAGTACAACATCTTTTGCTGCATCTTCTCAAGCAGCTACGTAGCCAGCTGAAAGACCTCACACTAGGAGAATCCCTCTCATTTCCTCTCACAGCCCCTGTTGATCCCATTCAGTCCGTAATAGACTGCTGTCCCTAAAGCAGCAGCAGCCAACTCGACAGGTTTGTATAACTCAACTCAAGTCTAGATGCAGACAAACACTAAGCTCCTCTTTATGAGGCTCTCATCAATTCAGGGGTAAATACAAAACAGCCTATCCCAAGAGCTCCTTTCCTTCTAGTGGAACTGCATTCACTCGTCTGGTTGCTCCTCACTAGGAGCCTAAGCTTGTATAACTTAACTTCAGTTACTCCTTGTCTTCAGTTACTCCCTCAGCTGCCATCTTGGTCCAAGGCCACACAACAACTAAGGTGTGATCCAAGTCGCTGGCTTCCTACAGAAGCTCTTCCTCCAATCACATATTCCAGTCCACCTACTCCCTTCTCACTGAGTCAAGAACATGGCCAAGGAGTGCTTAGGCACATGATGTGGAAATGAAGAACTGAAATCCAGCGTCTCTTATCACGAGAGTGCTTGAGTTTGTGCAGTCTTCACTCACGCTATCACTCAATCTGAATCCCCCTTATCTGATTAACGAGTGATCATCGAGAAAAAAAGATCAGGAATGAAAGGTCACCAAAAAGGACCTCTTTCCCCGAGTGTTGTTAATCTCTGAACCTGTTACGGAATTCCAATATGAATCTGGGTACAAGACTGTCTAGGCGACCACCAGCAGTCCCCTTTGTTGTGAAACGCATCTGGTTAAAGTGAAGGAAGAATGAGCCGTTTTACCGGGAGCCCGATATTCCCTGAAGGAGGCATTGGTGAGAGGGAAGTGGACCACTATGGGGGCACGTGGATCATGGTCATCTGCAAACACATAACACTCCTGCAGGGGGCGTCCTTCCAAGCCACTGAGATCAATGCGTGGGAAGGGCAGGCGGTGATCAGCACAATACTGCTCTGTCAGCTTCAGAGCCTAGAGGGAATAACGAAGATAAGTTTGAAAAGAAAACTATGAAGTATTATATGAACAGATTCATTCCTGCCTTGTTGACGCTCAATGTGAAATCGACAATAAATGACCCAAATCACGTAAAAAAAAAGATTGTTGCATAGGAATAAGACACACATTTGAAATGATTGATATGGAAAACAATATCTGCTTAGTACCTTATTTTCTTCCTTCTGGGTCTTCTGACAAAATAACAGGGGGAAAAACCCACTGACATCAAGCCATTTGAAAATGAGAAAATGGCTGCACTCATAGGTTTGGTTCTGAGTAGGTTCCTCTCACACTTCTACAGAGGTTCTACACCCGTCCCTCCCTTCGGCTCCCATTACCTTGAACTGGTCACCCCAGGTGAAGTTGAAGGAGAGGATGATGTCCACCTTCCTTTGAGGTCTGAATAAAGGAGGAAAGCCCGTGTTGATGGCGAATCCTGAGTCTACCAGGTGCAGTTTAGAATCGGAGGGTGTCAAGCTGTTAGGGAAGGCATCTGGATGGGTATCTGTTTAGCAGAACCAAACTGTTAATCAAAGTCAAACTTTTGCAGCCCAAAGGCTCTTGCTCCTCCATGTCAACTGATGTGAAATGAGTGAGCAACAAAACAGCAGAGTTTTCAAAGTTCACCAAATGTGATAAGCCTCTGTAGCACGCAACAGTGCAGTCAAGAGGACAGGAAACACTTAGGTTATCTGCCTGTAATAAATAAGCATCTTGATTGAACAAATTGACACTGGAAAGGGCCAGACGCGAATAGACCAAGGCTCCATTCCATCACATACCTTTCCAGGCCATGAAGCTGCTGTTCTGACTGTAGTCCCAGTACAGACTGAACCCTCGCAGGAAATTGTAGCTCTGCCCAATGACTGGCCTGTCAGTCAGGAAGCCATTCAGTACTTCGGCAAGGTCATTGACTGGAGAGATTAAGTAGGTGTCTAAGGCAGTTGGCTCAAAGGGGTTGATCTCATCTAGTGGAAGTTGTGGTAAGAGAGAAACACTGGTATGAAAACCTTAAATTGGCTTGAATGTGGCGCGTCATGATTTCATTATTTCAATCTAGCACTCTACTGCTTTGGATTGTACCAGGATGACAGGAATTGTTCTACATAGTGCCTTACAAACCTCTTGATTTTTTGTGGATTTGAATATACAACAGATAAAGTTAAAATAGAAATCACAGGTGTTTCAAAGGTTTTTTTCTTTCCTTTTTTGAACCACTGCAAGAGATCTGAAACTCTAGAAGACCTTTTACTGTTTTTTTTAAACCGTTTTCTATAAACCTACCGAAAGGGTCTGCTTAAAAATATTATGGAATTTTGTATATAGTTTTAAACCATGGTGCTACTAGAATAACTCTGAAACTGAGCTGGTTACAGTTTGTGAAAAGAAACAAAACGTACAGCAAACGTTTGACAGGTTTTGTAAAGAGTCCTTCAGCATTCCTGAAAGATGTGAGACGATTGAAGCCAGAAAAAAATACCATTCTTTCGCACAGCATCCCTCAGCCATTGCATCCAGGTGGGTACAGAGCCTGTGAGGGAGCTCCACACCTTGGCTAGGTTAAAGGAGAAGATGCTGCTCCATAGTCCTGCAGCAAATAGAAGATACACAGCAAACGGGTGAACAAGGGCACACCGATTCTTCAAACCACCCTTCAGCCGCAGCACTAACTTCACAACTTTGAATATTGTACGCAAGCTGGAGAACCCTGTTCCGATTCAAAATGGAATTACTTCCTCTTACAGATGTGATCACATACCTTCATGCGTTATCAATTCCTGCAGGAATTCGTGGAGTCACTTCTACAGTACATTGAGACCAGAAATGCAAACGGCGAAGCAGAGAATGTAATACTGGGAGACTTCAACCCACACGTTGCACATGTGTGCGTTTAGGCAAGCAGATAGTATTTGAGCCACAGTGACTCATCAAGGCTGAGCTCATACTGGTTTTTCATGGCCAAGCCAGCACATGACTCTCTCTCTCACCGCCCCCGCACCAAATAGAAAACCAGTCCATTGCAGATCCTACCCCCAGGAAATGCTGGTCCCCAATCACACAGCTAGGTGGACTGGTAAAGGACAAGGTACACTCAGCAGGGACTTGTGCCCACTTACACACTATGCTACTCTGCACGCATTTGTGTGTATGAATTTACTGTATGTGAAACTATTTAAAGACAAAGTTTAAAGGAGTGCAAATTTATATTACTCTCACAAAGTGCATTGTTCATCATCAACATTCAAACCGGGTGCTACCACATACAGCAAAAACATACTCACCCAGCAGGAAGGTCAGTCGTGTCTCACTGTGTCTCTTGATCAGGTGACCCATGTAGAACTCACTGCCAAAGTCCTCCGTGCGGATGAATGCTCCATACTTGGGGAACCCAATCTCATGTGGGGTAAACTCACACCATTCTATGAGGTATAAGGGGGCTTACAGTTAAAATGGTCAGATTGAATACAACAGATAGGCTATGTATTGACTCCCTGAAAGAAAAAGACCTTTTAGTTTAGATAACTAAAGGAGTTTCAGAACTCCACTTCTAAAACTAAAGAAATAAATGCCAGACTTCTACTAATATTTGTGCCAGATTATGTACTGTAATTAATTTGCAACAGACATGCGTAAGCTCTTGTTAAGAAATATAAAAATTCAGTTTTACATGAAAACGGTTCATACCAGCTGTATCTGCGGTTCCCTTAATTGCATCTTTCATGTTGACAGCTAAGTAGATGGGGTAGGGGTTTTGTCCTTGTGCTATTGTCTCCTGCTGATTGGAAAGTGTCCGAGGATCCCTCTGTAGATGAAGAAGGAAAGTAAAATGAGGAATTCTGAGGATACTGCAAGGTATTTTTTAAACAAAAATGCTTTTAACCTTTGCAATATAAATTAGCAGTGACCATCAAAGAAAAACAGACCATTCTTATTCCTGGGAATTGAAGACCTTCAATGTTGCAACTGCTGTTGCCGTTGTTAAGTACATCTAATCCTAAATCAGCCCAACAAGTTATATGTTCATTTTTTTCATGTAACAATTTAAAATAAAAAGGACGGAATAATTGCCGTCCATTTAGAAAAAAGATAATTTATAAAAACCATCTGCACTAAGGGTCTCTCCATACCAATGACATTTTAGAATAACATTACCTTCCCATGAATGAAATACTCAATAATAAGCCCCCACAAATCAATTACAGACACGAGCTGGCCCTCTTGTCTTCTCTGCTGGATCTCCTGGTAGTAATAACTCAGCTGTGCTGGAGAGAACACTCCATGATGACTCTTGCAGACTTCAGACTGGGCTTGCATGATTGGCCCTTGCAGGTCTTTCTGTGACCAGTCAGCATCTGCATACAGACTGGACAAGGCCCTGAAAAGAGTTGAGAATTTTCATCATGAAAGTGTGTATTTATTAAAATATTTAACCTTGGGCCTCTGTGCAAGAAGAGTTTACAAAATTCATCTCTTGAAAACCAAAGCAAAAAGCTATATGTCTGTTGATGGCAATCAAAGAGCATAGTGGTACTCTATAAACAGAACCACAGATTTCAGACTCAAGCCAAGAGGATTGAACCTAAATACTCCTTCCTACCTGCGATGCTGGTATCCTGAACATCTCACTTCTGAGTTGTGCTAGACTAACTTATTTGTAATTGGTTTTAATTGGTTGTAATTGTACTGTAATTGGTTTTCCTTTTGTTTGGGTCACAGGCAACGCAGAGTTTATGTGCTATGTAGCTATAGCTTAGAAAGAAAGTGTAAAATATTTGCTGGTTAGTAGATGCATTTGTGTTTCTGGTTATTTACCTATGGCTTAGTGGTGGCATCAGTTGGAAATCTTAAGCAAATATATCCAGATTGACTTTTCTCCTATGCCAACACCTGCTACAAAGATATTGTTTAAAAATGTCATGTATATGTGTGAATACATACCATGTTGAACCTGAGACCCCAGAAATGTAGGTCACGGTGTCTAGAATATCCAGGTTCTGAAGCCCCTTCAGGCATCCATAAAATGCAGTCATTGCTCTAGTCCCACCCCCAGATCCCACTACCGCCACCACAGGAACCTACAGAAAAAGGAGCAATGATCATGGCAGGAAACCTGCTAAATAGGTATAGACAATCTACATCTGGACAATGAGTTCATATTTGTTCAAAACCTCATCTGAATACCAGCTTCTGATTTCAAATGTAAATGTCAATTGTAAATGTCTTTTTAAAACATTCCACTTTCACATCAAGGCAGGTATCTCATGCCACAACAATCAATGATTTTAAAATATGATACTAATTACCACCATTCTCCAATGCTGGTGCACACACTGTTCTCTTTCCAATAATAAAAACTTTTGCCATCTTAGCTAATGCAATTGAATTTCTTACAAATAGGGAGAAAAACAAGAAGTACCTCCTGGGAATCAGGTGTGCTACTCAGCTGGAGTGCTCTTTGAAAGCCCTGGCACACCCTTGAAGACCTCTTCTCCAGAAACTTCTTCTCTTCCTCTGGGATATCAAAACTCAGGCGCACATCAAGATCCTCTGAACTGCACGTGTACACAGGACCACAGAGAAAGACAAAATCCTATGTTACTTCTGACCGCATGGTGTGAACTGACATGGCCTTGCATTGTTAAATAAGATACATCATCTATTATTCAAACTAAAATAACTCACATGTTACACATGACATTGAATGCATGGTGGTATTTTAAAGATGTGTATCATTACCTCTCTTGATTTGTATTTTAAATATACACAAAGCTTAAAAAAAATTACCAATCTTTAGTCCTCAGCTGAAGATCGATGTCATCCTACAAACAGGGGAAAATCAAGTTACTGATATTACCCACATATTTTGAATAGTTTCAAGTAACTCAAGTAGAATGATGCAGAAGATCTTGGGAGAGTGGAGACTGAAATTCAGAGGAAGAAGGTTGGAGCAAGGGGTTACCTCTCCTACAGGAACTGACAGCAACACTTCCTGCCCTGCTGGGAGAGACTTCACAAGCACAGAGGACAGGGCTGAGGTATCCTCAGCTTCATCTTTTCCATCTCCCTGGTCTTCATCTTCATCTTCCTCATTGATATCTTCTGTCTAGGGATGAACAGATACATCAGTACAGAATTTCAGGACATACTGTAACTCCAATTCAATCATAGAGAATAGTAAAGAAAACCAAGATATTTATGTGAAGTGTTCCACTGTATTAGTCAGTTTCAATCATTTTGAAAAGTACGACCATAACAAAATTAATTGGTGGTGGCATACAATATTTAAAGAAAAAAATATATTATTCAATTTCCTGTGGGGGTAACAACTGAGTACATTGATTTGTAAGTGTTAGACATGTCATCCATGACTTTATTTAAAAATTCAGCAAAGACTGAGATGCCTGTCCAGTTCTCTTTTGGCTAGAAACTTCACAGTTGTAGCTATCAGCTAAAAGGTACACAAACATCTTCATAAAACATCTGCAATACGCAAAGCACCTTGGCTGAGGTGAGCCTGACCCTGAGCTCTGTCTCCAGGTCTCCATTAATGTAGAAGGTGAGAGGCTGGGAAGGGCCAGACACCTGAGAGGGACGGAACACAACCTGTTCTTCCTCGTACGCTCCCGTCAGCTTCAGAACCACATCTTTATCTGCTGGAATAAACACGGCTGAAGGGTTCACCGGCAATTCAAAAAGCCCTTAAATGTGCAATTTAAAAAAATGTAATTTCATTAGAAATTGGAGAAAAAAAAAATTAAAACTGCTGATTTGTTTCAGCACAGACAGGTGGCACTCTGCTGTGGGCTCACAATGAAGCTCGTCACGATATGGACTATAGCTATGCAAACCCACTGAAGTAACTCATTTTAGCGAGAATTTATATTATTAATTGAAACCCCCTCACATACAACATATAAATAAAAACATCCAAGATATTCCTGGATATATTGCTCACATACCATCTATAAACCATTTTTCATTCACTTTGACCTCCAAAAGTGAAAAAGGACCAGCCTAAAAACACAGAAATGCTTTCGGTCAAGACGTGATTATGCACTGGCAGAAATATGCATCAATGGGTTTTGCAGTTGCTAAAGCTGTATCGGTGTCACAAACAACCTTTAAGCATATTTGCTTAATTAATGGCAAAGCAAGCACTGATTAACCTCAGCAATGCAAGAAACAGAACTCTTGAAGCTCACATAATTAAAGCTGTTTGTAACAGGATTATGGGGTATCTGCACATTTTTCTGTGATAGTAAGGAAAACACACACAGAGGGTAGCATTAAGAATGCAGTAAATTAGTACTGGAATCAAAGGCATTTACTGCTTTTTAAAAAGTCTCTCACTATACATGGTATATAGATTATCATAGTGAAATATAACCACATATATTGTCACTAGGCCTTGAGAGAAATTCAACAGTGAATTTTGAAAGAAAGTAGATTAGGCAGAATGTGTCAGTCCACCTGATTATCAACCTGCTTTCTCTGAATGGCTCTAGTGACTTTTCCTGGTAGAATAGACAAAGGACACATTCAGTTACAGGCGGCTGAAAATACTAACTCTGCAGCCAGCAGCCATATTCACAGTGGTTACTTTAATCAAATTTATCTCTTTTGCATGCACAGTGGGAACAGTCTGAAATCTGTTCCCTTGTGTATTGAATTCAGCTCCTATTTGCTTTGTGTCCAAAAAAAAAGGAAAACGTAATTGAGATAAAGATTTAATCAGGCTTAGACACAGCTCCATCTATGATCAAATCTGGCAGTTCATCTCTCCATTATAGACTGGAAAGACCCTCAGATGACCCTCAAAACAGACCCTCCGCACACCGGAGGAGGAGACATTAACAGAAACCATCCATAATCAACAAATGACAAAGGCTTAAACAAAGTTAATGTGGGTGCAAATGTTTTGAGTTTATCCAAATCAATGAGTGTAAAAAAAACTTAATTTAAACCAACTCACACTGAATTGTAGATTAAAACACTTACCACCAGTACTCCATTAGTGATATATTGGCTTGGGGGCTCATTGCTTCAAAAAACAAAGACATTAAAATTGAATTGTTGTTGTTTTAGGTTGTCAGTCCTTAAGCATGGCCTTGATTATGCTTAAACATTTTAAACTGGGCTGTGACTTACAGGGGACACGATGACAAGCAGAATGAAGACAGCACACTGAATGCTAGAGACTCCTTTTGAAATCCTTGTTAAAGACTGCTTCAGTGACAAAATAGGGACTGTTACTTTTCATTTTAAACAACAATGCCATTTTTAAATCTTTCTGAACTGTTCTTTTGTTGCCCTCTCATACTTTCCCATGATGTTTTTTTTTTTCCCCTTGAACTCACCTCTCCTCCAAGGAAAACTCCACCCACAGCTCGTCTCTGCTCTGGAAAGAATGGAAGAGTTCGAATGAGATCTATTCATGTGTAAAATCGTTTAAATATTTCCTTGATTAATTTATCCCATATTGTTGATGTCATTAACATGTTACTCATTTAAATTAATTTATTTATGCTGGTTTTAGTTTCTTTATTCGTTTACTGGGGGTGATGTGATATTAAAAGACGACTCATCTCATTCCTTTTTATAAAATATACAAATGTCATGCTAAAGGGAAAAGATGGTTCGCCTCAGTTTTGCGGTCAGCATGAATTCCGTTCTGGATGACATAGTTCCAGGATAAGGAGCTGGTTGAACAAAAAGACCTACTGTATAAAGGTGTGGATGATACCCACAAAGAAACAAGTATGCTTAAACCCACATTCACAGTAAAGTCATTAATGTATGTACTGTAGATGTGTATTGAACACCCTACAGTTAATTATAGATGGTAAAATGACCACATTATTGACCACAAACATCTTAATTAAAAAAAAGAATTATTTTCATGAAAATAAGGCGACACATACATTCTAATGCTCATGACTCTGCACAATGTTTGCAGAAGCAGTTTAATTTTGCATTACTAATATGGAGCACTGTTTAGGGCTTCACACTCAATGGGAAGACTGCAAACTCAAATCCTCTTGTGAGCTAGTAGTGTATGTGGTTCAAAGGGATTTCACTAAAATGACTGCAGGAGAATTACCACAAGTACAAATGTAAGTCAGTTTGGAGTTGGTGTCAGCTAAATTAACAAAAACATTCAATCAAGAATTAATCTAATGGTTTTCTAAATAAATAAATAAATGTTTATCTGACCATGAATACTAAACTTTTGTTTAAAAAAAGGAAGGATAAATTGAAGGCTTATTTTGGTGGTTTTCTGTGGGTACAGAAAAATAACCTCAGGGTCCAGCACAAAGACTTTCTTTTCTGTCTTCCCAGGTGACAGGTTATCAATGTCAAACAGCACTTTAGAACACAGGTCGTCTCGGGGAAGCAAATCCTGGTCATACACGTTCAGCTCTAAAATGTTCTAAGAAGAAAGCAGAAGAGAAGAAAATTTCACAGCCAGCAGTATGAAATACGTCTCAATTTGTCGGCCCTGTCCACGCTTTTCAAGCTGGTCTTTAATGACCAGGTCTAAATAAGAAACAATTCTCACACTGAACAATCCCTGGCTCTTTCTGTCCCCGAAAGAGCGGTGTTGCAGGGAACCTCTGTGTATAAACCCATTTTTATAGAGCATTTTGAACATTAATACTGTTAAAACCCAGGGAATGGAAAGCAGGTTTTAAATATGTGTGGCCTTCCCCTGAGCCCCTGACTGTCTTGTTGTTGGAGATGCTGACCTTCACATGGCTGTGGATTCTGTAGTGGAAGGTCTCGTTCCACACAGGATTGCTGGAGTTGGCCACAGTCTTGGTGCGGTAGGTTTTGGCTGAGGCAGTGGGGAGCCGGAGTGTCACATAGCAATCTGACTGAGACCCTAACCAACAGCGACAGTGCACATGATCAAGGAGCAGCCCATGGTACTATACAAAAGCACTATGACTAAGAATCCATATAGCAAAACTAAAAGTTTTATGCCATTTTACATGAAGAAATTAAAGGATAAGATCACTTTATTAGCCATATACAATTTCTTGCATTAGGAATTTGTCTTTTCGCAAACCCCAGCTTGCTCTCCATGAGACACACAGAAATACACAGAAATACAAAAATACAGGTACCCCTGGAATTAAGCAGTTCACATCATTTACTGCTAGAATCAAGTTAAAATAACTAAAAAACTTACAACCCATGATATAAACATAATGCATTCAATGCTATTCATACAGTATTTTGGGGAGTCTTTAACATAACTCACAGATATCATGCTTGGGAATGTTTTTGCCTTGGAGGACTTTTACAGACAGATTCCAATAGGGATCAGTTTCTCTCTAGAGCCACAAAGATAAAAAAAGGAAAAAAAAAAGATTCAAATGTTTCATGCCACTGTTTAGAAACAACTAGAAAGAGCATAAAACAAACTTTGAGGTGGTACTCATAACTACAGTAAAATACACAGATAAGATTCTTAAATAGATTTGATACGTATTATCAAGAAATAATTTGCATCATTAATTATTTTATCATGCTTTTATATTTGCTTACTGGTAGATGTTGTTTTAATAAGGACTGACCACTTTGGCTAAACGCAAATTTTATCGTAAAATTCTTCAAGAGAAACATTTTCTGCAAGCATCTGAGGTGAACCTGTGTCAGCGGCGCTCCAGAGGGTGGGAGGACGTACAGTAACACAACAGGGAGTGTCAGAGACAGACAGGTGAGACAGTAGTGTGGAAGTGCTGAAAGGTAAAGGTTCTCAGGATCTCCAAATGAATTGCATGTGTAGAGCAAGAGGTGAAAGACAGTATAGTATGTAGAGTAGTACAGATTCACAGGCAAGTAAGAATCAGTTACAGAATGGCACAGTTCTTCAAAGACCAGGCCAGGTTACAGCTCACTTTCTTACCCACGCTGCAGGGTCAGGTGGTGTGTGTACTCTCTTATCTTCTTTCCTGGCAACAACAGCAGCAAACACTGGTACCAGCCGCGCTGCGAGCCTTTGAAATGCAGTTTGGGGACCCATGCCAAGGGACACTTACTGAAGGATTCAGCTCCTCCGACATCTGCAGCCTGGAAAGCTGGAAAGGGCAGGCATGTGCAGCGCAGCGCCCAGTTTCCCTTGACAAACTGGCCGACACTCACTGCCTGTGAAAAAAGCCGGACCCACCCACCCTCTCAGAGGCGTGTCTTACAGTGAGAACTTTCGCAAGAAAGGAGATTGGAATGAAGAACACTTGTCGCGTCATGTGGTCTTGTTTCTGCCCTGCCTTTCAAAATAACTAACCTGTGAAGTTAAACAATGCCAAGTTCTACAGTACATCTTTAAAGAGCAGCCTGTTCAATTCACTTCGAGAAAGTGATTTAGTATGCACCAGCCTGGTGTGAAAGTCAGCCCTTGGGTCAGAGGTTCCCTCAGATATAATAAATAATCACTAATCTAGTGGATAAGGATAAAAAATAATGACACAATTCTAGATTACTTAATAACTTTTGTTTTGTATGTGTAATGTCATGTCTGTGTACGATTTTGTTAGCAATTTTGTACGTTAAATCTGCTCTTTTGGATTAGACTTAAAAATTGGATTTTTACCATTTATGTCCCTTATTGGCAGGTTAACTAGTTTGCTGTGTGAGATTCTTTCCAGGGGGGAGAGGGACCGAAGGGCCTTTGATGTGCAGATGTACTTCGCAATTTACCTCTTAACGAGCGAAATCAGCTGGCAGCTGGCTTAATTGGACCAATTGAAAAGCTCCTCCCAGCGCCTCAGGTGGTGCTGCTTTGAGGAGACGGCAGAGTCCAGGATCAGGATCAGCAAGCCAGGTTTCAGGTATGTTTTAAGATAGAATGTAAATCTAGCCTGGGAGGCGATATTTGTATCTTGAACAGGTTGCTGCTGAAGGCCACGGAACAGAACATGAGTCCCCACTAATAAAATGGATAATGCAGAGTGGAGGCACTATGGTTTGTTTTGCTCTTACACAAACATCTTTAGACATATTGCAGGCTACACAAACGGTTTGGTTCTGTAATTTGTCTTCAAGAAATTCTTTACTGGAAAGCATTTAATTTCATCTGATCAGGTGGAAGTGCCTTAGTTATTTTAAAACAAACACGGATTTCCAGTGCATGTGAAGAATTTAAAAAAGGCGTGACTCATGTTCATGACATAAAGCTTTTTTTAAACTTTATACGGAGCTGTATAACTTAATGAACATTAAGCATGACTACTTAATTTCCAGCATAACAGTTTACAACACTTAAAAGACTGATTGTCCCCTGAATGTTGGGAGAAGAAAATAAAATTATTGGCATGGAAGAGTATGGAATAATATTTTTTATTAGGTTCTGTAGTGGCTGGAGTTTTTCAGGTTTGGTTGTGTGTGGAGAGATGGTGATTATGTGTTCGCAGTTTGAATTTCTTGGAAAGCCCATATTGTCTGCTTTCTTTCTAATTCTGTTTGTAAATATCACTTTGATTTGCTAGTTAAGGGTGGGATCTGGGGTACTGATTCATTGATTTGTCAATGTATTGACTGTGAACCAATTAATAATCCACAGTTGAAATAACTTCAATGCTTTAGTTGTTACAACAGTCATAACAATGTCGGCAACTGCACCACACAAAAGCAATGTGAAAAATGGATTCAGTGTCTTCTGAAACAGAATTGTTTAGAATGCGCTCTAATCCTTAGTTAGAAAATAAGTTTTGTTTCAATAAAAAAGTAATAACCAAATAAGCATGAACAAACTAGCATTAACAGCATTAAAGAGGGCTATCTGAGTGATCATCTTTCACTAAAGCCCTAATCCTGGCATAAACATGCAGTTGCATGTCCCTCAGATGTAACTCTTCAGCAGGCATACTTAATCTCTCAGAAAACTGTAGAAACGCAAGCATAAAATGTCATTTAGACTTGTCTTCAGTTCCTAGAAAAATGTATGCACACATCAAATGCAAATATTTTGGGTAGCCTGGATCACTTTGAAATTGAAATACAGTAACAACATGGATTTGACAACTAGAAATGATTGCAGACTTTGCAATGGAGTAGTATAGTGCGCTATACAATTTATGGATTTTACTAAACTACTGCACTGACTTCAACACATCATAAAGGTACATTTTGCTGAACAATTTATGATGTAGGTCCTTCATTGAGTAGCTGTATAGAGTCACTGGACAAACGGGTTACTACTGGACTGTTTTCAATGTACTTGCTAGAACTTGCTCTGTATTCTGGAGAAACTGATAAGGAAGAAGGGGCTTTGGGAATATAAAGTATTGAATATATTGTGCATGAGCTCTGAGGATGGGGTTGCTAAATGATACTGCCACAGTGAGTGCTGCTTTTCCTAACCAGAAAAAGAAGGCAAATGGATCCATATCACAGAGTCCAGAATTAGCTGCAATTACCCTCATACAGTATGTCATGGGACACTCACATTTGTGGGAGGAACCCTGGCACTGTATTCTCTTGATACTTTCTCTGAAGAAGCGCTATGCCAACTCATTCCAATAGCCCCCAGGGTAGTGCAGTGGAAGTGAACAGATTACACAGCAGAGAATTAAAAAAAAAAACCTTTACAGTAACAGAACAACACTTCTCTTTACATTGTTACAGTAGTGCCTTTTCCTTATTTGAGGTATATCAAAGTTATATATCCTGGACATACACTAGGTTTGAGACTTCCCTTTTTTTTCTCCAGTTCTTAGTTGTATCCTTTTGAAAATTAATATGTCACAAGACGTGACTTGTTTATTAGCTTGCGGTAAACCTCTTGATTTACAGTATGATCTCCCCTGTCTTAGTCACACTGATGTTCTGCTTAGAGACATGAAACATATGACCTATTGCAAGGTGCAGCAAGAAACCACTTTTTAAATGTCAGGGGTGACATGTGACAGACACAACAGCACTTCCTCTCATGCTGAGAGCTGCACCTTGTGCATTTATAAACATTGACAGTCATAAACACCAGGAATTTCAGGAGAGCACATGGGAATTATCTCAAAGATTGCTGGCAAATATTAGGATATAGACTTGTATTTAAACCCTCATGAGAACTGAGGTATGACCTCCTTCTGAACTATTAGAACAAATACTATTACAAAATAGCAGCAATTCAACACAAATTGAGTTTTAATGTTTTTTAAAAAACTACATTAATGAGTCATTCAATTTTTTATAAATCAGAATAATGTAAAAGAAACTACACTTACAATACAGCTGCGTGAAGCAACAGCTGGGGCTCAAGCAATACAGATATTCTAATAGTTACCATGGAACAAATACTCTCCAATATAGTTGGACTTAAAGCTTGCTCTGTCTACATCCTGCTGCTCCTAGATTATCCAGGAAGAACTGCCTGATCCTTCTCCAGGCCTCCTCCTGGGCAAAGGCATGGGACTCAGCCTGGCCTCCCCACAGTAGAGGGGCGTTTATCACCTTGTGGAAGGAGGAGTGACAGTGAGGGAAGTATGGTGGCTCTATGAGGTGTCCTGTTCCAGGGAAAATCAGGACCTCTGGCCTCTCTTTGCCATGTGAGATCAGACGCTTTGCAGCTTCACTAGCAAAAAGACTGGCATTCCAGACCTGATCATCCTCACCTGCCACAAAAAGGAAACGGGCACTGGCCCTCTCTATGGGCACTACTGCCTGGCATCCTGGATCACGAGGGTCAGCGTAGGCCTCACAGAACCTCAATAACCCCGATGCCTGATCCACCGTGATCTTCTCCGGCGAAAACCTCAGTGCTGCCAGGGTTGTGCCTTTGTAATGCAGATGGCACTGGAAATTAGCATAACACCCAGACACACTGACCACTGCAGATATACCACTCAGGAAACTAGCCATGGATAGGGCCAGGTCAGCTCCTTTAGAGACGCCCAGTACACCAATACTGTTCTCCCTCACCTGGAGGAATTAAGAAAACAAAAAAGGTGTGACGTTATTGTAGGGCGCGAGGACGTGGTTTAAAACATCTGTCCAAACTCCAGCCATTGCTGGTCTACACAGCTGCATGCAGGTATACCTGTGGAAGTGCCTGAAAGAAGTGGAGAGCCTCCTCAAAGTATTCCAGATCTAATTCCTCCAAGTTCTGTGGGAGGTCCTCAAACCCGAAGTAAGCCAGTACCATTGTGGCAAACCCGTGATTGGCCAGGAGGCATCCTCGATGCTCTAGAAGTCCTCCAGCT